TTGCGTCCTTTAATTGAAAGCAGTTCGCAGAACCATCTCTTCAATGGTATATCGTGGGAGCAGCCTTGTGTATTCGAAGAATACGATTGCCAGCCTCCCTTGATTATCCTGGGAAATTCCAGCAACTAATGACCAATAGACGCACTGGAGAAGGAAAAACCAGGGAGACTGAGGTAAAATCTCCCTTGATTATCCAGGGAGAGTTTGTGGATGGGCTGCTCTGGCAGCAGAAAGATGGCGATTGGGTGGGTCGCGGGGATCAATAGGGACAAAAATAGAAACTGAGCGAATGAAGGGGGAATCCCCGGCTGCGCGTTTTCTTCTTTTTTCTTCACAATACTACATTCAGCTCAGCAAGATATATAACGTTCGCGCGGGGTACACAGTAGACAGCCTTCACATCTCGTGTTGTGTATAGACCTATTGTAATGAAGGGGAATCGCATCTACTAGTATGATTTTATATTCTTGAAACAAAGAAGCATGTTTTTTCTCTCAAATGTTTCTTCAATTTCTTTTACAGACTTAATCTAGATTCTTTTACGATATTATTAATTTGCAAACACTAGGTTGCATCGTTAAATATAAATTGGTTTTGTAAATATCTAAGCGATGAATTAAATGCAGGTTGCAAATGTATGTTTGACTATTGGTTTGAGCTAATTGGTGGTATAAAGGTTATAATGAATTGTAAATATAGTACAAAAAACGCAAATTTTCTGGAGAACAAGTTGCCTCATTTCTACTATAATTTAATTATGACATTTTTCTTGTATCGATCATGTACTTTTGGCAGCTATCGTAGGGAAATGATTTGGCTGAATACAAATGTAAAAAGAAAATGCTTTTTTATAGGAATTGGATAAATTCTGACATTTTGTTTGTTGGGGATTTAATGGATGGTAAAGGTTTTCTACCAGTTGAGTTAAGTGCGAAAATATTATTTAAGGATGGATAGGTGGTATAGTCAATATGCACGTATAAGAAGAGCGATTCAATCACTCGGGAATATGTTAGTACTTACAGATATGTAGAACATATGGAATATATGAAATTTAGACCCACAGCGTTTGAATTTAACGATATAAAATTGATTGAAGACATGATTTCAGTTAGACAGTTGACAGTTAAAAGAATATATCAAGAGTTAATTAAAACAAAAATTGAAAAATCTAGAGCGGAAGAATTTTGGCGTAATACTTTGGAAGTTGAATATATACCTGTATGGTCGGATGTTTGGTTATTTAAGTTAAAAAGTATAAAAGACAGCTTACTAATTAATTTCAATTTCAAATTCATGTATAATATTTTAGCAATACCAAATAATTTGTTTAAATGGAAAGTTAATGCCAATGATAAATGTTATTATTGTAATCAGACAGGTGATTGTATGCACATGTTCTTTTTTTGTAACGAAGTCAGTATGTTTTGGAATGAAGTTGAAAGGACTATAAAGAAATATTTCATGTCTAATTTTAATTTCTAACCATGTCATCTATTGTTTGGTATTGATTTTAATTCTAAGAAGGAAAAAGATGTTGATATTATTTTGAATTATGCACTTTTTACTATTTACAAAAGTTTTGTTGGAAAAGAATCTAAAAAGAAAACAACTAAAAAGAGACTTCTTCACATTTTTATTTACCTATTAATTTATCGTTTACAAATAGAAGAAAATATTAGAAAACCATGTATATCCCTCCAGAAATGGAGGCAAATGCTAAAAATGTGAATATGTTTATATCATTATGAAGAAAAAAATAAAGAAGACCTGAAATGGTTATTTTACAAAAAAAAAAATAATAATAATTTGCGGAAGGCCGTGGACAATTACCCCCCCCCCCCCCCGAGGACAAGTACCCCCACCCCTCGGAAAATTACTCCCCACCCCCCACCCTGATAATAAATTGGTTTTGATAAAAGCAGATTTTTTTCGGGGGGGGGGAATTTTCCGGGGGGTGATTGTCCACAGGGGGAATTGTCGTAGAACCCTAATTCCTACATAGCACTACTAAACCCCCAAGCCATATCCCATACACTGCCATCCAGTATCATAATTATAACCAGTTGAAAAGCATGATTTAACTACTTGACGTTTTATATACACTGAGATTGAAATACACGTATACCTCTAATTCAAGATCAAGCAAGTTTAAGTCGCTTAATAATGTGCATTAATCCCTTGTTTTACATATTTTTGAATATCGATCGAAACAATATCAAGTTGGATGCATGGCCCCAAAAGGGATGCCTCAAAACGGCGGTTAGGTAGAATGAAATTGAGAAAGAGGGAGAGATACATATGGGGGAGGGGCGTGAGTGAGAGGGGATAGTGAGGGCGAGGGGAGTGACGGAGAAAGAGAAAAGTCGAAAATTTAGATAGGCAAATTAAGAGAGAGATATAGGCGAGAAGACAGAGAGGCAAAGAGAGAGAGAGAGAAAGTGGGAGAGAGAGAGTAAAGGAAAGATAGAGAGAGAGAGAGAGTAAAGGAAAGATAGAGAGAGAGAGAGAGAGAGAGAAAGGGGGGGGGGGTCGACGGAACTGAGCAATATACATTCTACATGAAAGAGAAAGAAAAACTAACTTTTGAACACTATGAGTAATCTAATTCCTTTTTGGGGGGGGGGGGGGGGTCACATCTCTCCAATCTAATGTCCATGCTGCGTTGCTGGCTGAAAGATGTGGAAAACACGCAATTTATTATGCATTTCATTATCTATTTACATCCATGTTGAATTGAAGAAAACAAAGCATTTCCTTTGTCAATAAAAAGGTTTCCTCCACTAAATTCTAATACACCATTCAACATATTGTTTCTTGGGTCGTAAATTGAAGATGAATTAGAAACTTAAAGAATAAAATATGTAAACATTATGATCTCTTCCGATCCTGTCCCCTGCATTCTGGACTGGACATGCTTGAGGGGGATGAATGATAACATTTTCGGACAAGTTAGACCTTTGTTAAAAGACGCGTATACAAGGGGTTGAACTTTTTAAGTGCTTTTTGTTGACTCCAATTACAAAATGAGCTCGATGCCGTTGATGGGCGTGGCCGACAACCAAACAATGCTGCCAAATGTTATTGAAACCGATGCTATAGTGAGTATAAAGTCTTCTCATCTTAAGCTGTATCATATTTCATTTTGTGTTACGGTTGAACTCCTTCATTATTCCTCATTTGTAGGATTATGTATCATAATTATTCAATCCAGTGATAAGTATTGTTTAAAATTAAATTCGAGGTGTATTGTGTCTGTTGGTAGGAACACTGGTCTCTGATTGAGTGTTACCATGCCAGTGGCGGGTTCATGGTGCACAGGGGACACGACCCCCCCCCCCCAAAAAAAAAGAGGAGGAAAGAGCAAGGCTGGTATCCTGTTTTTCTTGCTTTCCGTTTCGTTCTTTCTTTTCTGTTCTTGCTTGCTTGGTACAGAGATTTAGGACTTGTGCCCCCCCCCCCCCCCTCCCCCTGCATGAGAATTGTGGAACTCCAACTGCCGGTCTCGGATCAGTGTTTATCCATGATAAGATCCTCCACCCGGGTATATATTTACAGTATAACAGCCCCAATGCAAATATCAATTGAATAAGAACTTACGCAACTCAAGCACCGAGTTTTTAAATTAGTGGTTTTCTCCTTTTATATAGGGCACAGTTAACCACACGCAGAACCTCGAAGGGAATTAGATCATCGTGCCTTTTAATTGGCTTCATGCAGGGCAAAATTTAGCCAGGGGATCGTCTCTTGCCCATTTACTTTTTGATTTAGCGAACAATTCAAGAGGCTATGATTTTTTTTAATTGAACCGCTCATAGCACATTGGGTATCATATCGGCCCCCTTGCACGCCCCCCCCCCCCCCCCCCCCCCCCGCGGAAGGGCCGCCTCTGGCTCAACTGCTTGAAACAGCTTAACCAATTAGCTTCTCAGTAGCCAATTGTTTATTTATAAATGTGTCCAATAATTACGAAGCACTGATTAGCAATTTCTTTCCGAAAGCAGTACATGTCTAAGAATTTTTTGACACGGGTTCAAACGTTTCAAACATTTCATTGGTGTATGTAATGTGAAAAGTTTCAATGACATTTTGTGTCATTGTCTCATGCTAAGATCACAGATATTGATATCAGTTAATGAAGTTCATTTATTTATTTTTAAAAGATAAGTTTTGCTGATTTGTATTCATCCATGCTGTAATATATCTGTATCTTCAACACAAAGCTGAATTGAATGTATGGGTTGTATGGAATAACAATAATGATATTTGTAATTTTCATAATCCAATTGTCGTGTCTAACTTGTATATTGTTTACTTAATGAAAGATAAGGTATATTGAATGGTGCAACAAAGAAAAGAAAGTTCGGATGAGAGGGGAGGAACGGGAAATTAGTGTTTTACAGCAATTGAGAATAATTCGCAAAAACATATTTTAATTGAAGAGTTGAATGGGCCAAATCAAATTCACCTTATTATCCTTTTATTTCACATCTCTCTCTCCGTCTCTGTATTTTTCTTTTTTCCTCTGTATCCCTATCTCTATATAACTCTTTAGCTTTCCATCTCTCTCTTTCTCTTTTCTCTCGCTCTCTATATATATCCCTCCCTCTATCCCCCTCTCTCTTTATTGATGAACAGGGATACCCCCTTGCTTTTGCTTCCTCCATCTTGTTTCTGATATGACTGGAACTGAAAAAACATAAATTAACAAGACACAAATACTACATTAACAAAAAAAAATGGAATAACAAACATAAACAAACAATTACTGTATGAGAGAGAGAGAGAAAGAGAGAGAGACTGAAAAATACAAAATATAATGGCAGTCACTTTGGTAAAATCTACAAAAATTCAAAAATTCATAAGGGGTTAGTCCAATAAAATATACCTCCTTTATGTTCACACCCATTTTGTAACTCATTTTCTCTTTCATCTCTCATTCTTTTATCCATAGTTTGCTGCTCCTATTTTCCAAATAATCACCAGTAAGATAAATCATATTTCATTTGATTTTCAAATTTATTCAAACTTCGCACTCAAATTTGAATCTTATCAAGCTTAAATTTATCAATACAGTATATATAGATTAAATTAAATATATAAAATATATCCCGAACCAGATGTAATGAACATTTCAATAAGATGAATATATGCTTGTATGCATGCATACAGTCGTATTTTACATAAGAAGGAAAGCTTCCCCCACTTTAGAATTAGCATAGGCACTTGCATATATGAATTGAAAAATTCAGAATTTCCTGAGTGATGTTACATTTTACAGAGGCCATAGGCTGAAGATGAAATATAACGGCACGAGGGGAATTCTGAATTTGGAGGTGAATAAACGTTACACTGAACAATGAAATGCATGCAATATGCACTCAACTAGAAGAGATGTGCGTAGTCTAATTTGGCTTTGCACGCGTTATAACATGCAAAATAAGGTTGTTATATTGCACGGTCGTGAGAGTATAGCCCAATGTCGAGTGTCGCGTGACACCATTTCAGCTATAGGATACAAAATACACACATCATCAAACTACACCTAGCTAGCACATTCTTTTGTCTCTTTTGTACTTAAAAATGTTGAAATATCTAAGGCACTAAAACTTTATATTTAGCAATCCAAGATCATCTAATACACATAGAAAGCCCGTCTCCTTTGTACATCAAAATGTTGAAATATCTAAGGCACTAAAAAGTAGTTCATGATCATCCAATATACATAGAAAGACCCATTTAGAACATCCTTTTGCATTACATAATTCAGAATATACTCACAGATCTGAGCGATTTGCATTGTCTATTATGAAAATCAGAGTGGATTATGAAAATGACATCACTCAATCAGAAGAGGATGGTGATCAAAAGGCAAGGTAATGGAATGCTCATAAAAGTAGTGTTTATGTTTGTATCTTATAAGCCAATCAGGAATGCAAACTTACTAAAATATAAAACGTATTTACAAGGCAAGTATGGCAAAGATATACAAGTTCAAAATATACATGTATCATAGCATTGCATAATCATAAACTGGAATATGTACCATCAAAATTATTGAAATCCAGTACTAAATACAACTAGAATACACATGTATGGTACAAAATATATAGCAGCATATTTACATGTACACTGGAATGATGTAAAGAAATTCCAGAAAACTATTTCCTCAAATGGATTTAATATAGTACTGGTGGATGTAGTTAAACATGTACAAACAATAATTCATTTCAAATTAAATATCACACTGATAACTCAGGCATGTTACATTGACAAAAGAGACATGTATCTTAAACTTGTAGCAGCATCTACACTGGAATGATGTAAAGAAAATCCAGGAAAATATTTCCTCAGATGGATTTTAAAATCTAGAACTGGATGTAGTTCTAAATTTACAAACAATAATCGACGTCAGACAAAATGTTGCACTGATAACTCAGGCCTATATTCATACACCCTTACCAGACAAAGCTAGTTCTTGACTATCATGTTGAGTTCTATCAAGTTTATAGACAAGATGTCTGGAGCAATGTGGGTATTAACATCTGGGTCATTTCTGGTAACAAATTCACAAATTGATTTAGATTCTACTTAATTATATTTTTTATTGAACATGTGCAATGACATTGACAAATACAGTGACATTTCCATAAGATAATTTGAACAATTACATACTTTAACTCATAACTCACTTTGTGAAAGTTGAGTGGTATTTCATACATTGCATGCAAATCACCTTCTATTGTATATTGTTCATATGCTTTATGTAATGGCAACAACTGAATTTCAAAATGGACCAATAAAATTAATCTGAATGAATGAACAAAGTGGTAAAAGTCTACAATACACAATCCAGGTCTCCCCAATCCTCCCCCTCCCCTCCCTCTCTCACATGGTGCAACTGCAAGTCTACTGAATAATACACATATACTTGGTACATGGACTACATAACTGTCTAATGCACTAACATCCTTGACAAGGCATTATTCAACATTTGCCACTCTCCACCCAGGTGTACATTGGCACCCGATATGCCAAAGTGGGACATATTTGACGGCCACCTAGGACCAGGGTTATAATGTATGAGCGCAAGGAGTATCATGGCCTGACAGCGTCACTATATCAAAAGTGACTGTTATTATCATTATATCAACTAGTTGCCGGCGGTGTCACTTTCTATTGACAGGCATAATGCTTTGCTGGGTAAAAAACGACCCCCTATGTAGAGTATTTTCAAAAAACATTTCCACACAACCCCTTTCTGCATTAACAGGTACACAATGGGCTCTTGATGCAACTCTGTTTTGGGCTTATTACACAGTCACAAAACATTGTTACAATATTATGATCCCTTTCTCTTGAAATGGTTATTCTAACACCAGGGCCTCATTTCACAACACTTGTCGTCAGTAACAAATGACAGTTTTACTAATAAGCTAGTGAAATCCTTGCTTCTGTTTGGTTAATTATCAGCAGATTTGTAACTGATTTTAGTCATTTGTCACTGAAAAAAGGCTTTGTGAAACGGGTCCCAGGACTTAAAGCTAACAGGCTATCCGAGACACATGGACGCCCAAAATCTAGGTCCAGACCCCCAGAATGTGCAAGTTTTTACATAGGGCTAATGCATACAGACTGTAACAAGTTTAATTTAAACCTATTTTCCAAATAAAAGTTAGTGTGGATCCCTGTATCATACATACACACATTCAAGATGAAGTGTTACCAGTGGGACACTGTCTTACTCTACTGATACCAAAGCAACTAGACTTTATACTTTGATTGCTTCTCTGGTATTTCAGGATCATCCTGTGGAACTCTTGACCGAGTACAAGTAGCTTGCCTCTTGTAAGGCCTGCTCAAGCTACTGCTACCCTCTCTGTGTCTCTGAGAGAATTGAAATACAGTATCTGGTGAATTGCCAACATGCTGTTGAGGGTGGTCTGATGGTGGTAATGTCCTTCTTGGATAGTGTATATCACCCATGGGTTGCTGTTGAGGGTGGTCTGATAGTGGTAATGACCTTCTTGGATAGTGTACATCACCCATGGGTTGCTGTTGAGGGTGGTCTGATGATGGAAATGTACTTCTTGGATAGTTTACATCACCCATGGGTCGCTGTTGAGGGTGGTCTGATGATGGTAATGTCCTTCTTGGAGAGTGTACATCACCCGTGGGTTGCTGTTGAAGGTGGTATGATGGTGGTAATGTCCTTCTTGGATAGTGTACATCATCCATGTGATGCTGTTGAGGGTGGTCTGATGGTGGTAATGTCCTTCTTGGATAGTGTACATCATCCATGTGATGCTGTTGAGGGTGGTCTGATGGTGGTAATGTCCTTCTTGGATAGTGTACATCAGTAACATTACCCGTGGGTTGCTGTTGAGAGTGGTCTGGCTGTGGTAATGTCCTTCTTGGATAGTGTACATCACCCATGTGTTGCTCTTTAGGGTGGTCTGATGGTGGTAATGTGTTTCTTAGATAGTGTACATCACCCATGTGATGCTGTTGAGGGTGGTCTGATGATGTTAATGTCCTTCTCTGATAGTGTACATCACGAATTGGTTGTTGTTGAGGGTGGTCTGATGGTGGTAATGTCCTTCTCTGATAGTGTACATCACGAATTGGTTGTTGTTGAGGGTGGTCTGATGGTGGTAATGTCCTTCTCTGATAGTGTACATCACGAATTGGTTGTTGTTGAGGGTGGTCCGATGGTGGTAATGTCCTTCTTGGATAGTGTACAACACCCATGGGTTGCTGTTGAGGGTGGTCTGATGGTGGTAATGTCCTTCTTGGATAGTGTACAACACCCATGGGTTGCTGTTGACAGTGGTTTGATGGTGGTAATGTACTTGGATAGTGTACATCACCAATTGGTTGCTGTTGACAGTGGTCTGATGGTGGTAATGTCCTTCTTGAAGGGTGTACATCACCCATGGGTTGCTGTTGAGGGTGTTCTGGTGGTGGTAATGTCCTTCTTGGATAGTTTACATCGGCCATGGGCTGCTGTTTAGGGTGGTCTCTACCAGTACTGCTTGTACTTTGGATTGGGGACAAAAAGTTAGTGGAATGTGAAACCTGACTGGAAGACCCTGGTCTACTTGTTCTTTCCCATACATTTGGTGGATAACGGGAAGCTGAATGGAATCCTGTAGTGGAGGAAATCTGACTAGGCTGAGGTTGGCTAGATCCTGACCGCTCTTCAATCATTGGTTGAAATGGTGTATCTGACATGTGCCATCTCGGCATGGCAGGTTGATGATATCCAGAGACTGGAGGGTTAGACAACAAAGCAGTGCTGGATGTAGAGGCATGGTAGGATTGAGTGTCGCGATCCTGACTTGACCAAGGCATGATGGTATGTGTCGCACCTGTGCTCTCAGGAACCGGTTGTGGATACTGTGTTGGTGAAAGGTACCCTGCAGACATGGCAGGTTGATGATGTCTCGAGACTGGAGGGTTAGGAGATGGAGCAGAACTTGACATAGTGGCATGGTAGGTAGAAACGTACCTGAAATAAAGACTGTAAGGAATGATAGGAAACTGAGTAATGTTTAAGTTGTCCAAGTCGGCTGAGCTATAAGAAAATAGACTTTTTTCTTACTATCTGTTTGCCAGATGAGAAATAAGAAATGAACAACTATTGGTCTTTATGAAACCACTCAAGAAACATTTTGATCAGTAATGAAGAAGAAGAAAAGAGAAATAGCAGAGACTGTAGTCCCTCCCCCCCCCCCCCCAACACACAAATTTAACAATTTTAAGTTGAGTGATTCCACTTTACAGTAGGGAATTTGTTCAATAAAGCTGTTACTAAATATTTAGATATCTCAGACAAGAAATCATCAATTTTTTAAGGTAAACAGTATCACAATATTGCAGGGGTATCAGCATTGTAGCTTTCCTTAATATTCCATTAGAGGCTCTTTCTTTCTATATCACACTTTTCATGCAAAGTCTAAATGCTGTTATCTGAGTTTTTATATTTTTTTAAATCACATACCGGTATACTTTACTGACCTTGAGAGGGTGTGAAGAAATGAGTTCAAGTCATCTTGAGTAACATCATTCAACCTGAAGTTTCCCTTCCTGATCTGAGGAAAACAACCCTGTAACATATAATAGCAACATTGCTTGTAAACTTTGTATCAGTTTCTAGTAAGTGGATCTATTTCATTCTTGCATATAATCTATTTTCTTGGGAATATACACTCAAGAGCTACAGTTACATCCCTTACAAAAAATAAAAAAATAAAAATGAAAAAAAGGTAGAGTAAGAAAAATGTTGCGCAGTAGATAAATCACAAATCATCATCTTACATGAGACCTTTAGGGATGAATGAATGTGGCGGGGAGGGGGGTATCCCCAAAATGCCTGTTTTTACACAGGAAAAGTGTCCCTTTTTCTTTGTAAGAAGTGCCACTTCCCCTTTTAATAAGTGCCCTATTCACCTCTGATAAGTGCCCCTTTTATTTTGACACCTGCCCCTTTTCTTTCGACAAGTTTCCTTTTTTCTTTGCAATAAGTGTCCATTTAACATTCTCATAAGAGCCCATTTCACCTCTGATAATTGCCCTTATTGAAATCTGATAGATGCCCCTTTTCTTTCAACAAATGCCCCTTTTCCTATATAAATAAGTGCCCATTTTATATTCTCATAAGTGCCAATTCTCATGTGCGAGAAGTGCCACATTTTCATCTCTGATAATTACCCTTTTACTTTGACACGTGCTCCTTTTCTTTTCTAATAAATGTCTTTATCCCTTTTGATAAGTGTCCCCTTTGCCTTTCACCATAAAATGTACCCGTAATTTAAAGCAACTAAGGGCACCGTATGTTTCTTATCAAAGGTCTTTTCAGTCTTGCATGATGAGATTGTTCTTATAACCCCATCAGGATTGTTTTTTCCTCTTTACAAGATGTAATTTTTCGCACTGCGACCTCACAAATGTCAAAATTTCAAATGAATATTCAGACCATCACACCCAACTGCAAAGTATGATTATTAGCAGTATCTTGTACTATGGAAGGAGAGAAGCATATATTGAAATCATCCCTGATAATTTCATCACAATATAGGAGTATATACCAATGTCTGAAAATAGAATAGTTTTGCTTTGAGATTTCCCCAGAGAGTGCCTTTTTTTGTTCCCCCCTCCCACTTTGGAAGATGCTCCGCCACCCCTGTTGTGGCGGCTCATGCTATATCGCATATCTGCCATATATGACATGCGATTGGGCTTATTTTAGTGAATTTGGCACGCCAAATTACTTGCTGGAAATATTTTGCATGTTGTTAAACTTGCAAACAGTGATTTGTGGAATTCACAATAGTGAATCCTCGCGAAAATAACTACTTCTAAACAGTAATGCAAGGACAATGAGCCTCGGGACAATTACCCCCTAGACAATAACTCCCCCAACACAACTACTCCCATGACAATTACATGTTGCCCCAGGTCAATTAAGGGATGGTGACTAGGGATGACGGGGCTTTCCTCAAGGGAACAGGGGGTGGTGGTATGTGGAGGGGTTCCCACGGAAGAACTTTTTCAATTCAATAAACTTAAATCATACTTTAGCACAATGTAGAAATATCAATTGAAAGTTGCTTTTTTTAACAATTATCTAAAACAGGTGCGGAGGAGAAGGGGGAAATAACAGAAAAGGGCAACTTACAGAAGTCGAAAATGAGGTGGAAAAATGCTTTCTAAGACATTAGTATATCCCTACTATATTGTTCTTGAATAGCAGCCCACAACAGCCCATTATGTATACCTGCATGTATGATGTCTTTGCTTTCAATGTAGAGTAGAACTCAAGACACACATGTCTGATTTTGATCGTAATACATCCATCGGTTCTAATGATAACGCGATCAAAAGCTATTTTTGCATACATAATGAGCCCCATGACCTTTGACGGTGACCTTGACCTCATGACCCCAAAATCTAATCAGTTCATTGCCTCAGCAAGATACATACATGTCTCGACTTTCATGGTAATCTGTCCATCTGTTCTTATGATAATGTGATCACAAGCTATTTTTGCATACATATTGAGCCGTGACCTTTGACCTTTAACCTTGTGACCCCAAACTATAATCAATTAATTGGCTCTGCAAGATACATACATGACCTAAGTAGGGCAGGAATCCATCAATCAGTTCTTGAGATAACGCGATCACAAGCTTTTTTTGCATATATAATGAGTCCTGTGACCTTTGACCTTTGATCTCGTAACCCCAATATCTAATCAATTCATTGGCTCCGCAAGTTATATACATGACCAAAGTTTGGTAGGAATCCATCAGACGGTTCTTGAGATAACGCGATAACGAGAGTGGGACGTACAGACGGACGGACGGACAACCCGAAAACATGCCTCCGGCTACTTCGTAACGGAGGCATTACAATAAAAATAAAAATAAAAAAGGGTGACTTGCAGAGAAGAAAAGAAAAGGGGGAGAAGGAGCGTTAGTAATAATACAATAAATCGAATACATCTGCTGAATGAATGCAGGTTCTTTCATAGATGGGTAAACAATGCTTTCACACATTTAAATTTCAACTGAATCAGTACATGTGTAGTTTGCTTTAATTCACTGTTCCAATATACCAAGTGAATGGCCTTTTAAAAAGGGTGTTTGGAGAAAAAAACATATATACATGTGCACTTTACAACTATTACTGCTGTTTCTTTCTTGCAATGACCCTCCATGACATGTACATTAGGACACACATACCTGTATGGATGATGCCTTTGCTTTCAATGCAGAGTATAACTCCTCATGGAGAACCCATCCAAGTGTCAGGTTAGTCAGGTTGGGCATAGAACACAGTACTTCTGCTAGTTGTGATGAGGCTGGTGTGGGACAATCGAGATGATCAAGCTTGACAGTCTGGACCTGCATTGTTTGTCAATATATTTAAGCATCACGTCTATACATGCATATCTGTCTGTATAATTCTTACATTTTATACTGTGAGGATCTTATTCAAATTAGGTAGTTCTTTGTGAGCCCATGTAAGTTATGCGAGGATCATATGCAAATTAGATGTTCTTTTACGGTGAGCCCACTTATGAACAGGTGCTTAATGTAGATTTCCACTTCACTAGATGAATAGCTAAGTGTATTCAAGTGTACACAATATCTAGGTTCTGTCAGGTGTATAGATTGCAGACTAAACGCTAAAGTTTCTATGGAGAGGATGATTTAGAAAGAGTGATTTAAAAAAAAAAATTCTTTATGTATTCTTTATAGAGTGCCAAAGCTGTGACATCATACAAATCTATTTTTAGAATTTCTCAATATTTACTTCATTTTGAGAAAGAGCATCAAGAAAAATGTCCAAATGTCGAAATCCAATTGAATATGTTAAGTATTGGATGAGATATGACCATCTAAATAGATTTCCTATAGGAATCAGTGTTATTGCTCTGGCTCGTAATGTTATGAGCCGGAGCAAACTACCAGTTACACTGAGTGGCATAGGAAATCTATTTATTCAGATGGTCATATCTCAGCCAATACTTAACCTATTCAAGTGATTTTCAACAGTTGTACATTATTTTTTGTCCTCTTTTGGAAAACGAAGTTAAAATTGAGAAATTCTCAAAACAGTTTTTTGATGACATCACACTTCACCGCTCTATGAGGCTTCCAATCTGTTTTCATTGATAAGTCCTTATCCTACTAACACTGACACTTATAAAACCAGAAATATGCATTTGCTATTAATGTATTAAAGGTATTCATAACTCTGGATTTCATGTGTACAATACCCTTAAGTCAGAAGGTTTTATGCTATGGTTCAGTGAGGTAAATTCTAGCATTTATTAAAATTGGTTCTTTAAAAAAAAATGACTTATTTTGTTACTATCAATTAAACTTGTGAAAGGTTAGATATTGATTATTGATCAAAACAATGTCAATCTTTCAAACATTTGAATTTCAACTGAATCAGTACATGTGTAGTTTGCTTTATTCCATGTTTTATAACTGTTCCAAAGGGTGATTGGAGAAGAAAAAAATATATAAACTGGTTTATACATGTGAACCATATAACTATTACTGCTGTTTCTGTCATTCAATGACCCTCCATGACATTCTCATTAGGACACACATACCTGTATGGATGATGCCTTTGCTTTCAATGCAGAGTAGAACTCCTCATGGAGACACCCTCCAAGTGTCAGGTCAGTCAGGATGGGCATAGAACACACTGCTTCTGCTAGGAGATGTATTGAGGCTGATGTGGGACAATGGAGATCATCAAGCTTGACAGTCTGGACCTGCATTGTTTGTCAATATATTTAAGCATCACGTCTATACATGCATATGTTATATTTACTAATTTCTGTCTGTATTCTTACATTTTATACTGTGAGGATCTTAGTCAAATTAGGTAGTTCTTTGTGAGCCCATGTAAGTTATACAAGGATCATATGCAAATTAGATGTTCTTTTGTGAGCCCATGTAAGTTATACAAGGATCATATGCAAATTAGATGTTCTTTGTGAGCCCATGTAAGTTATGCAAGGATCGTATGCAAATTAGATGTTCTTTGTGAGCCCATGTAAGTTATACAAGGATCATATGGAAATTAGATGTTCTTTTGTGAGCCCACTTATGAACAGGTGCTTAATGTAGATTTCCACTTCACTAGATGAATAGCTAAGTGTATTCAAGTGTACACAATATCTAGGTTCTGTCAGGTGTATATAATTGCAGACTTTTTGTATGACACATTTTCATTTGTGTGTGCTAGTAAAAATGCACACGCAGACTGCTCACTTGGATAATTGATCTTGAAGAGAGAGGTCTGTGTTACAGTTTTGGGGGGTATTTCCAAGGAAAGGAACCGGCGTGGTGTGGTGCCATGCAACCCAGTGCATGATAAGACTGTTCTTCCCTCTTCTCAATGCCGAATTGTAAGTACATTTTTATACATCATTTTTATATGCTTAAACAGTCATTGTTATGGTCATTTAGAGAGGATAATGTGAAGTTGTTTTATTACCGAATGATATGTATTTTGTTTGGTCGAGTCCTTTAAAATATGGACATTTAAAGAGGATAGATATGAAGCTGTTTTATATCCGAATGATATGTATTTTGTGTGTGGCTGAGTCCTTTAAAATATGGACACTTTGCTAATGTTGGAAACCGATGTAATACAAGTGGTATTGTGCATTTTCGTGTTAATTTTAGGACCTATGCTATTAAGATTCCGGTCTTTTATTAATTTAGACGGCGGTCAACCTACGCGTCAACCTCGGCCATACGTATAGTCAACCTCAGACTACGTATACTTGGGCAACCTCGGCTAGGACAGAGTCGGGTGTTTCAAGGTCATTCAAGGGTTATCTTCAACCAGATCAACGGGGCGCATCTCTAGCTTTCCACTGTTCAAGGCAATCACTCGCCGTCGCTACTGGTCAACACACGTTCGTCGTTGCAGTCGTCGCATATAGTTTCATCGAAGTATCAACGTTAAATGAACTCAGAGAAGACAAACATTTATTTAAGCTTCATTGAATGCCAGTATCCTATTTACAGATAATTATTATTTTGTAAACGACAATAATATGATGTGTTCTATTTGAGCAAGGATATTTGTAATATCCTCCTTGATTTGAGTTACATTAAATGTTTCATTCAACCTATATTTTCTGGAATCATTTGGTAGTATTATTCAGGGTGGTTAAGTAGCCTATTCTAGATTAGTGAGCTAATACAAGCGAGCTATCGCACGTGACATATACAAATTCCTCAAATTACATAGTTGTATTCATAATAACATTCTCAACAAAACAATTGGATAGATTGTATTTTCTAATTCAATTCTTGTCTATTGAGAAAAAGAACACACTAAGGTTTCTATTTAAAGGATTATTTAGTAAAGGCAATTTTTTTAAAAATTCCTTATGTATTCTTTATAGGGCTTCCAACCTGTTTGCATGGATAAGTCCTACTCCTACTTACACTGAAATTCATAATACCAATACATATATATTTGCTGTTAATGTATTGAAGGTATTCATGAATCTGGATTTCATATGCACAAGATCCCTAAGTCAAAAGGTTTGTTGCTATGGTTCATTTAGGTAAATTCAAGCCTCTATAAAAAATGGCTCTTAAAAAACTATATGGCATATTTTTACTATCAATCAAACTTGGAAATGGTTAAATTTTCATTATTAGTCAAATCAATGTCAATTTTAGACACACTTGAATTTCAACTAAATCAGTACACGTGTAGTTTGCTTTATTCCATGTTTCATGACTGTTTCAAAGTCATATAAATATTACTGCTGCTTCTGTCATTCAATGACCCTCCATGACATTAACATTAGGACACACATACCTGTATGGATGATGCCTTTGCTTTCAATGTAGAGTAGAACTCCTCATGGAGAACCCCTCCAAGTGTCAGGTTAGTCAGGTTGGGCATAGAACACAGTGCTTCTGCTAGGAGATGTGATTCGGCTGGTGTGGGACAATGGAGACCATAAAACTTGAGAGTCTGCACCTGCATTGTTTGTGAATATATTTAAGCATAACGTCTATTACTGATTTTTGCCTATATTCTTACATTTCATACACATTCTATTAATTACATAATTGTATTCATAACATTCTCAACAAAAATAATTGAATATATTTTCTTTTCAAATTCAATTCTTGTCTATTGAGAAAAAGAACACACTAAAGTTTCTATTGAGAGGATTATATAGTAAAGGTAATTTTTTTAAAATTCCTTATGTAATCTTTATAGGGCTTCCAACCTGTTTGCATTAATAAGTCCTACTCCTACTTACACTGAAATTCATAATACCAATAAATATACATTTGCTATTACTGTATTAAAGGTATTCATAACTCTGGATTTCATATGCACAAGACCCAAGTCAGAAGGTTTGGTAAATTCAAGCCTCTTTTAAAAATGGCTTTTAAAAAACTATATGACATATTTTTTTACTATCAATCAAACTTGGAAAAGGTTGAATTTTGATTATTAGTCATATCAATGTCAATCTTAGATACACTCAAATTTCAACTGAATCAGCTCATGTGTAGTTTGCTTTAATCTTGCCAAAGTCTTAAACTCCAGCGGAATGTCTTAAAATAGTCTACTTTCGATCTTGGATAAACTGTTTTATTTTAATCTTGTGGTCTTTATCATTGAAATACTAGTTTAAGGCTGTTCGTATACTGCATGGGCCTATGATGAAGGTCATGGGTCTTATTTTAGTCTAGAAGTTTTATTATGGTAATAATACAAAGCAAGATGACTAAAAAAGGTCTTAATTTTAGCTCATTTTGACTCTTGGGAGAAGGCAGTGGCTCGGAAGACCCGACCACTGACTGGAATATGTATTCATATGCACCATCTTGTGATTTCCCCCTATCTCTCTCTCAATGTAATGAACATTAAACCAAAAACTCGAAATCGTTAATATTAAATGTACTAGGTACTAATAATATACATATCAATTAAAGCTTGCTTCCATAATTAAAGTTGTTTAGAAATATTTTGGTGCATACCAATGTTATGTGTCTATTACGGGTCTGGGCAAACAACTACCGGTACATGTATGTCTCAAAACCCGGGAATTCCTCCCAATGGACAGACAAGGTCACGCGCTGGCTGAGAGGTAAATATTACCAAATTATTACTGTTTTTATGATTTCTGTAAAAAATCATGCTAAATTTGCTTAAGAAATCAGTAAAAAGACAAATTTACAGTAAATTAAACTTCCAACAAAAGGAATTGACCAACGACCAACGCTAAGTCAGTTTTCTTCATGGGGAAGATAGTCTCATGTCCAGAAGTCAGTTACTATGATCTGAAAAAATTGAGTCCAACCTTTACAAACAATGTCATTCACTTGTGTTGTACAGAATTAAACAAGCGGTAAACCTTACAGTAATACAAACGCATTCAGTTTAAATTTTATAGTGTATTTTCATACACTGTTGCCATAAAGCTGGAATAAGTTTGTTACACTGACCAATGTTCAAGAAAATTGAAGAAAAAAAATCATCCTTTTGATTCAATACCCCAATTTTACTGAAGCCTAAATACAGTTTGTAAAGATTAATTGTGGTTTCATTTTCACTGTGATATGCTCGGTAGAAATTAATCATTAAAGTTTTGACAAGATATGCACTTTGTCTGTCAAGAATAAATGAAAATGTCACAGACTTCATGATAACACTCTACATTGCATTCATTGACTAAGAACTTATACTTTTTTTTATAGTTTTTGATGTTGACGCCGCTGTCGCCGTCACCGGAAAAGCGGCGCCTATGTCTCCAAATTTATCAGGTTAAGTTTTTTATGTTGACGCCGTCGCCGTCGTTGTCGCCTATGTCTCGCTTTTTGCTTCGCAGGCGAGACAAAAATTAAAGATATCATTTGTTTAGTGATTTAACCCTTATATATCAGGCTATCCAGATTCGAACCAAACTGACCAATTACAAATAGTGATGTTGATTATCTCTTCAACACCTGATTAATCTTGAGATACATAAATCATAAATTCATTTTGATATGAAACATTAGCTGAAATTCATGCAGAATTCTAAGTATAAATTAAAGGCTTAACCCTAAAAAGGCCGGGCTATTTGAGGTCTTAGTACGGCCGGGGGGGGAGGGGGGGGCCATTATGGCCCCCCATAAGATGTCAGCCGTGAAGCGGCCGATCTCCGCAAAAATGTGCACGCATGTCAAGTGGAGTGTATAGAATACTATAGTTTCAATTTTTTTGAAAAATTCACTCATTTGCATGTTTATGGTACTTTATGCAAATTACGTCATAAAAATCACATTTTTACCCATAAATCATATATTATTCATATTTAAGCATTATTTTTCACTACAGATATTCATTAGACCATTCTGAATAATAATACGAGAAACAAAATTGGAAGTGCCAGCTTATTCCTTATGTTATCTCTTGTTTTTATGATTTCTTATGTATTTCATTGTTTTTTTAACTTATGTAACTGTATTTCATTGTTTTTGTTGTTTTATTTCATATCTAACTATAATTCAACTATTTTGACCCCCAAAAGAACCACCTAAACTTTAAACAAGACCCAATAACCCATGTTTGATCTATTTTTAGGAAAAATAACTTTTCCATATGTTTTGTACACAAATTATGAAAATGAGCGATTTTCGGGCTGACATGCAAAGATAAAAGGTCACATGACCTTGTAACCCTAATTTTAGTACGACTTAAATTTTTAAAAATTAATTCACCTCTTTCTTTTATCGATGTTTTGTTTGTGTCCCTCTATATTTGTCATGGTTTTTTATTAATTTTATTATTATTACGATATCATGCCAGGTTACCAAATCCTGTCCTTTTTTATTTGGCACCATCCTGACAAACCCACTCATATGATATGAGGGTTTCTCTGAAGTTTTTGAAAGAAAACAAAAACCTATGTCCCTCGGTGTGGAACAGAGTGACTCCCTGCTATGAGATACCTTTATCTGATAATCAAGGAAAAGAACTTGGGTGCATGTGAACTGAAAGTAGACCCTTCCTGAAGAATTGCACTGTCGTGCAGGTATTTATTAAAAATGATGATACCGGTAAGCAAAAAATATGGGCTTTTGATGAAAAATGGTGCAGTTAATCAAAGATGAAACAAATAAGAAGTTATACATAATTAATGAGTCACTTATCCATGTGATGCCCTTATACTATAGACCTGTATATATTTTATATAGATTTTACTAGCTGGTAAAATCCATGTTCAGACTTTAGGAATGTGACAGGGGTCAATCCCTTGACCCCAATGGACATGACATGTTTCACACAGAGTACATGAGCAAGTAGATATGCATGCCTCTATTGCAAGGCAATAATCAAGTCAGAGTCACAATTAAGGGGGCACCTCAAAAATGCTAACAAAACACTGGTATGGAAATTTGAATTCAACTGCATGGTTTTCCATCGTTTCCAAACAAAAAATTAGTGTTAAAGGAACACTAACATGGAATTAAATTAAAAGAAATTAGTGATGGAATTTGAAATTACATATAGGTAAGTTAATCCTTATCGATGTTGTTCAAACACCTATCAGGTGTCACATTTATACTATTATAGATATTATACCAAGGTAATATTATTAACACCCTAGTGTATATATATGTTTTGCAAAAAAAAGTAGAAAATCATACATGTACATGACAAAATATTTTCTCCTAGCTGGCACCAGTGGTGTAGGCCGGGTGGCCTACCCCTTCAGTCGAAACGGTATTTAAACAATAATTACAAGAAAAGACAGAATCGTTTCTGGGAAAATGTTACATGATGACAGTGTTAACTATATTTTGCACTGTATATCCAATTACAAAAGCATGGATAACAAATGATGTACAAATCTTTTTGGTGTTAACAAAGTGTCTGGTAACAATCAATAATATATATTACATTATTTAGGTTGATCTTTTATTGTTATGATTATTCAGTTATCTGCGTAAAAAGTCAAAGAGATTATTGTGACTATAACAACCATTATATACCTCACTTAAGAAATCCAGCCATCTGATTGGTCGAATTGCATTCATAAACTTCAACTGTTCCTGTAAAATTCCCGGTAACCATGCTTAAAACATTTCAATATTTTTAATAACCATGGTTATTAAAAAAATAGGTCAGTCTCCATGGTTACCCCATAGGTTTACATGTTAAAAAATGGTTTGAGCGATGGAGGATACCATACGTGTGCGAAAAATTGGTCGGCAATTTCAATACAATTGAATCTCGATCGATCTAACCGACAATTTTATCTTGCATTGTTGACATGAAGACGAAAATTAACTCTCAAAAACAAAAAAACAACATCTGCCGATAGATCTTGATCTAAGTTCGTGCCAATATGCATTGCAAAAGTAAAAGAAGGGTCCGTTTCATGGAGCTTTTGCGAAGCATCCCTCACGCGGAGCCGTTTTCAATCCATTTTAATGTATATATTGGAGAAAACTGCCAAGCATGTTAACGGCGCGCGATAGCCGAGTGGTCTAAGCGTTGGTTTTCGATACACCTCTTGTTGTACGCAAGAGTTCGAATCCCGTCTTCGACAAAAATGTAAATTATTTTTTATTTTTTATTTTTTAGTCTATTTTTTTTCGGCATATAAAAGTATTAATGACTGCTTTAATATTCGAGAAATAGTTGTTTTCATACGCTCTCGGGAAGGTTACAATTGGGCTATTCCCCTCGGCAAGCCTCGGGGAATAGCCCAATTCTAACCTTCCCTTGAGCGTAATAAAACAACTATTTCTCTCAAAGCAGTCATTAATACTATATTATTCTTGTCACCCCAAACTCGGCACCAATGTCAATACCAATATATCATATTAAATCTGTCTTCAATTGCATACAGAGATTATGTTTCCTTTTAATCTATACATCAGATACAATTAACTTATACATGTTATTGATGAAAGATTTGTTAGATCGAGAGAGCCAAGGGCGGATTTAGCTTTTTGCTAAGGGGGTGGGGGGGGGGGGGGTGGCCCAATCACGATGCGGAGGCGATTTTTTTTTTTTTTTCTTTCTCTTTTGAACCCCTGTTAGTGATGTTTTCCTGGCATTTACTAACACGATAGAGACCATAAAAATCAGTGCATGATAATGTCTTTTTAAATCAAGTAACAGTTTAATACACAGTTATATCCAGAGTTATCATGTGTTTGCAGATACCAGATGAGTTGAATATCTTCTCACAATATTTGCACTTTTCTCTCCAGTGTGCGTTCTTTCTTTGTGGTCTTTCTCTTGGTCGGACCTCTCTTGGGGGAAAGCAATCTTTATGCCAAGGGGAGGGGGGGTTGGGGGTTGACGCAATGACGATGCAGAGCATTGTCCACGAGCCACATAGCGGCGAGGCGATTTTTGTTGTTGCTATTTTGAACCCCAGTAAGTGATATTTTTCTTGGGGTTTGACCTGATGACGATGTGGATACTGTGTGGGTCTGGACACAAGATGGCGTTTTTCTATGCACATCACATTTTCACTTGGCAGCCCAAGTAGATTAAACTGGCACATATTCCAGTTTCGTCAACTGGATTCAACTGGTACCAGTTGATTCCAGTTGAAAATCCAACTGGCTTCAACTGTTTTTTTGACCTGGGTGGGTCTGGACACATGATGGCGTTTTTCTATGCACATCACATTTTCAATTGGCAGCCCAAGGGGGGGGGGTTAAACCCCCTACCCCCCCCCCCTCCTCTCCCTCGTAGATCCGCTACTGAGAGCGGTTATTTAGTTAAAATTGGACAATAAAGTCTGTCCTCTAACATTCCTTTCCCAAAATTTTCAGTGCCCATATGCTGGTCTCATTCAGACTTATTTTTGGAGACTGAACGGGAATTTAATATTTTATTTGTACCCATATATATGTTTAGATTATAGCAGTTCTTCTCATGAACGGAGTAGAATGAAATTAAAGTTATGCTTCTGATATTAGGGAGACATTCAACGCATTTAAAAATAATCGTCACTTGTAGTACTTTAAGCTAAAGGGGAATTAGATCCATCCTGAATTAAGTTGGTTTCAATAGAAGCAGAAAATGAGAGGAACAGGTCGGTGAAAGTTTGAGCAAATTCTGGTTAAAATATAAAAGTTATGAATGTTGGAAGTAGCGATCAATCAAACATAAATTGGCAACAATGTGACAAATCTTGTGAGCCCCCCCCCCCTCCAATATGCTCTGTACATAAAATTTAATTAACTTTCATTTTCTTTGTTATTGATGATGGAATATATATTTTTCCATACATATTTAAAATATATTTGCAATAATCATATTATTGGTGCATGTATGATTGAACATTTTCTTGAGGGAAATTTAATTAAGAATCAAAATTTTATTGACTCTTTGACCCCATCTCGGGATATGAGAGTACAAACAAATATAAAAGTATAAATAGCAATGCATGACTTGTGAATACAATTCTTATACATTATACATACTGTAGATAATGACACAAAGATACAAACGATAATAGGTATATAGTGTATGAAAGTACAAACATGAATAATGAACCAACTAGTAAACACAAAGTATATATACATGTACAATGTAGATAGTGACAATAATACATGTATAAGTACAATGCAGTCTATTTACAAGCAAAAAAGTAAACAAAGTAGGCTGTTTCACTATCCTACCGCTACGAGTATGTGAAGGTTCAGCTCTCATTGTACTTCCTGAAATGCTTGAACTATCTTCTTTCTCTGTTTTTTGATAAAATTTCAACATAATAAGGCGAGTAAATCTTGCTAAATTCTTTAACTGAGAAGTGCTTCTAGTATCAACAAGTTCTGTCATGTGCATAGCACTTGGGAGCTTAGACTTACAAAACTTTTTTGAAAAATATAAACATCTCTCCCTTTGAAAATATGGACAAACAAAAATATAGTGAAATTCATCTCCTATATCAGTGGACAGGCAGAGTGTGCACTGCATATCACAATGTGGTGTGTTCGCATCAAACCGACCTTTGTTTACAGTTAATTCATGTGATCTACACCAAAACTTACAGAGAGTAAAAGAATCAGTTTTATTTAGGGTAAGGAAATAGCTTTCAAATATATGGTTGCCTTTAAATATTCTATAATTTGTGCAAATGCGATTTGACCATACTGCATCTCTCCATTCCTGACAAAAAATATCATTTAGTCTCAGTTTTAACAAAGAATTAATATTTAAGCCAAATCCACTATTTTGGCCCAGCCAATTATTGGATAGACCAACTTGATTAAATGTGTCTTCAATAAATTTTAACCATGAGGAAATAAATTCCAAATGTTCATCTTTATGTATGGCAGAAATGAATTTTAAAAGGACATATGAATATTTACTATCTTTACCTCTCAAAATTCTTGACCAATTTAAAAAAAAAACTATATCAATTAAATATATCTCAGTTTTTAGTACAGAACAAATAGAAGAGGAGCTCACAAGATACATCACAGAGTTGCAAAGGTGTTCCACTGATGACAATATCAAACATTCATAACTTTCGTATCATTAATCAAATATTACTAAATTTTTCACTAATTTATTACTCTTATTTGTCTGGTTTTATTAAAACCATATCAGGGTGAACTTCCCCTTACGTTGTGATCTTCCACGGTTTCCACTGTTATACTATTTCACATGTAAAGGCTTTTGTTAAAACTGCTGAGGCCTTAGTGAAAAGGCAATTGATATATGCTACCGTCAAAAGAACCAGCATATACGAGACATTTAAAGGACTTAAAGGTGAAATTCAAAGAAAATCACAGATATGTCAACTAATGTATCACTAGAAACTGGTAAGCTAACAGAAGGCCATCGGGCAAGTTTTAGGTTAACTACATATCGGGTGATTTATAAAAATACAAATACAACCACCTCCATAGCAGCTGGGATATACGAGAGATTCGCCGGAAAAATAACGATGTTTTAATGACATCACCGTGACTATATGGACCACTACTGCCCAAGCAGACGACATCCCATAAAGAATAAACATAATTGCAAAGCTATTATTTGTCAAATTATAATGAGTTTACTGTAAATGTATATAAATGTAATGGCATGTCAAACCATTCAAAAGGGGATATGACCCGATTCTGATAACTAAAATCTTTTGCTTGTAAATACACAGGATAGGGTTTAATTAACAATCAAAGAAACCAGACTTTCAAATTGAAAACCCCCCGGAAGGATACTAAGGAAGGCATTTGTTCCCTTTTGGAACGCCGAACATACCGCGGTGTGTGCAGCTGAATATACAATGGCATCTTATTTTGTTTACAAGCGACAGATTCCTTTTTTTTTGTATCACTGCATTTGTCATCAAAATAAAAACATGCGCAGGGTTTAGAGTGAGGCAATAGATTATACATTTAGCCTGACGGTAGTGAAGTAAGAGAAAGAAATCAAGAGAAGATGAAAACACTGGCACTGAAAATGTGTGAAATGTCATGGGACATCGTCTGCTTGTGCAAATCATGTCCATACTGTGATCTCACACTGTATTTAAGCGTTTTGTAATTTATAATAATCATTACTTTGAATGTTTCCAAGCATTGAATTTTGATAACCTTGTCGAATCAAAGTGTCAACTTTGCAATAATGAACATGAAATTAGTTATTCAATTCAATGAATATCTACTTTAAAGAAAAGTTAAATGTACATTAGAAATGGGAAGAGATGTTAATGGAATAAATAAAAGTATCACACATACATCACAGTTGTGGATGAACTGCTCACCTTTGATTCTTTTCCTTTCATTGCAAGTGTTTCAAAAAAACATTGATGGCCACAGAATTCATCTCCTAGAGAAAGTTCCTTCAAGGATGGCATGGAGCATATTATCTCTGCCAGATCAAGTGACATAGTAGGTCCACAATCTCTCTCAATCTGAAGTGTCACCTGGATTCAATGACAAAGTAATTACTGATAAGATGCAGAATATAGATGTTCACTGGGATTTTTAATAGGCATACATGTGTAACCTACATGAGCGGTTACCTTACATGTGCTGCTCGAACTATGGAGAGTAAGAGGGAAAAGGAAATAAATAAGGGTACAGGCTGAAGAACTTTTGCCATGCCATTTCATATAAAATACCTGTTTTTGCATCAGTAGAAAAATATTATCTTAGTTTAGCATGTACTAAACAGAGAATCCTTAAAAGAAATAAAAGGAGAGTTTAAGTCTAAGAACAGGTTTCAAAGGAGATTATTTAAATTCACACCATCTGGCGCCTCATACCTTAATCCTTTATAAATGTTAATATGAATACGATCACTAAATTAAAAGGGTAGATGCGGAGCAAGAATCTAGTCTCGAGAGTCACAATATCAATACTGATAACACCAATTATACACAGGGCCAACTATGTTGCTAATAATATCAAACAGATTCCTTTGTGTCCTGTTAAACATTTATAAACCAAGAATTGGGATTTCATTTAGGCAAGAGAATTTTTTTTTGAAGGGATGAAAATGTGCGAACTATTGATGAACTTACCTTTCCCCGAATTTAATCTCATCTAAACGGCACAAATGCACTGTGTATACTGTATATTATATGCACGTGCCAGCATATAGCTTCAATGTTATTGTAAATTTGCATGTTCTGAATTCTTTTTTTTAATATTCTTCTTCTGACATCAGATTCGTATTGCACGCAGCGCTTGTTATTCCTAATTAGTTCCCTTTCTCTATCCCAATTGCTTTCAGATTTTGTATGCATATATACCATCCCATTATGTGCACTGAACTGACCGTCCAGGCGCCATTATGACGCTTTCCGGTCCATTTTTATGTCTTTCTTTCAGCCTACCTGTCTCCACTATCCTAGATGCTACAGACTTCTAACAAATTACTCTAGATCGTGTAAGAATTACTCTTAATCTTCTACATACAAATGGGCATTCAAAATGCCATCTTCATACTCAAAATTTGATTCCAAAATCGGCCTTTTCAAGAATTGTTAACATTCTTTAAATATTGACAAATGAAGAAAAAAAATTACCATAACTTAGTCATATCAAGTCCTAAATGAATTTTTACAGAATCTTTATCTTTGCATTGCACATGTTTCTGCTGAATTTCAGACATCAATGGTCATGTTTGATATAAATTGCATCTTCTAAAGTTCTGAAAATGGATGTGTTTATGTAATAATGTTACTATATACATGTAGCTCCATCATGCCTGGCTTAATCAGTACCCTTTTTTAGTTAGATACTTCAAGATACCCTTTTCAAAACCATACTTTTCAGGAAAATCCCTAAATAATTTCAACATGTGCTCAATTTGTGAACATTATACCTAGGTCTATGAAACTTGGGAGACATGTGTATCAACCTACTTGACAACTACCTGCCAAGCTCAGTAAAATGTCATGACGTCAATCATCACAAGGTAATTGTAGAAAATGCTGAATTTGCTATGCATCACATTACAATATGCGTGACATGCTTGTAGTACATAAGCGTGGATGACAATAGGGTCAAAATGACCGCAATGAAGTACGTGCCCATTCAAATGATGCCATACACAGTATATGTTCACTTAGAAAATTATGAGTAAATCAAAATTTAAAGCAGGTCACAATTCGGATTACGCGGGGTTTCTGACCAACTGTTACACGTATCCGCCATGCATGACGTTAATTTTCAGAGTGATTTTTGTTCCTTTTTGATTTTTCTTTATATTGAAATTTTGCAAGTATTTTCTGAGTGGCCAAACTCAGGGCATCTCATAGCCCAATTTTGAAATTCTGCCAAGTGGGACATTTTAGATGCCATTTAATATCCTGCATTACAAATTTACAATGTATCACACTTTATGTGTCACGTATTAGTATAGTATGCAAGGCCATATAAGCCAAAGTATATGGAAAACCATACGTGTGTAATGACGTGTTGTGTACATAGGATTATCGAATTGCTGCTATTTATCTGCTCAAAGAAATAGAAACGCGGTCATCAATGCATGCATATCGTTATACGATTGCAGTCCTAGTTTTCAAATTATTACTGTTCAAACCTCTTTGATTTGATTTATTTACCAACAGCAATACGGTAATAAATTTCATGCAATGGTATACAAGAAGATAAAATAAGTTTGTAAAAGGGGCCAGAGAATAGCACATGCACTACCGGTAGTCAAGATGCACCCTTCCATAATCATACTTTTGTACTGTAAGAAAACTGCAAAAGATATTAAAGGTAAAGACCAGTTTTGGAAACGTCCCCTTCTCAAAAAATGAAATGGAAGCTCTTAATATCAATCATGTGAAAGAATATGTTTTGACTATTAAATACGTGATCAGAACAATTTTGCTGAGAAACCGCCTACTAATTGATATATTTGATAAATTATCATATCTACTTGGACCTGATAGATATAAGGCACGTGTGCGTAGTCCCAAATACATCTTTCTGTGTACAGTGCTTGTAACTTTACCAAGACTGGGCCAAATTTCTTATCATTTTGATGATTCCAGAACCTTGCAGTACACACCAATACTTATATGCTAGATGATCAACCTTTTCTGATCGATTCCACAACGTTTCTTTCACAATGCAATCGCATGACCATAACTGGTCTTTATCTTTAAAGTAAGAACTTGTACAAAAATGGATGAACTAATTTTGTTCATCAAACTGTGATTAAACTTACCACATGTGGTCCTATGAAAGCATAACCAGCTACAGTGTGGGCTGTCATGCCATCGGATATGGTCAGTGCAATTTCCTTTGATGAAACCCTGTCCTTCACCAAGGCTGCCACATCTAGGTCCTGACTCTCAAAGGCTACATCAACAATGAAAGATAACTCTCCACCTTTTACAATCCCATAGGTTGAATCAACAATGAAAGGTAACTCTCTACCTACATCTAGTCCCTGAAGCATAGAGTTCAGAACGTGGGTTGCAATACTTTTGTTTTGTGACACAGTGAAGTACAGGAGATACCTAAACTCCTCCTTCCTTGGCAGCACTACTTGTTCAATCAGCATGTTGAATTCACTACGATCTGATTCATACAGGGAAGCAAGATGGACTCCAGACATGTACTCCTGAAACAGTTTGTGAGGGAAGAAGACTGGCAATTGCACATGAGAATTCCTCTCATGTATGTCGATGCTAATGGTAATTCTCTCCTCCTGAGACAAAATCCCAACCCGACAGGCAGTGTCCTTGGATTCTGGGCATATTCCGAAATCATCTTCATCGAAAATCAAGGTATTTTCTAGCAGACCTTTGAGGGCCTGTTTAGCAATTGGTCCAAGGAGCTCATCAATTTTTTTCAAATAAGAAAGAAATAAGCGGCTGCCTACTTTCTTCTCCGTTTTCTGAGCATAATGTTCTTTTAGAAAGGCAATCATTTTTTGGAATATCTGAGAAAAAGATTTCAGTGATTTCATTTCCCTTAATTTTTGCTCATCAAGCTTTTTCCACATAAGACACAACATGGCTACATATATAGGATAGTGGGCCATGTTTTCAGATATGACATCATTCTCACTGGTGAACTGGATAAGCTGAATTGCCTTTTCTTTATCTTCTTTCTTTGGAAAGTATTTGTGAATGTAATCTGACAAATTGTCTCTGTTGAAACCCTCAACATGAATGAATGTGTAGAGCTTCATTAGATCACCATCTGATCTAATCTCTACTGCTCTCCATGGGCGAGTTGTCACCAAGACTGGGCAAGAGGCAAGTTGATCTGAACAAAGAATCTCTACAAGTCCAATATCACCAGTCTCAGATGAGCTTCCACATGCCTCTGAGGGGGTGATACTTGGCTGTGATGACTTAAGTTGCATTTGATCAGTAGGCTGTTTTTCACAAGATTTTGTCTTCATGATTTTTCCACTGACTTCATCTAGCCCATCGAATGCGATGAATACCTTGTCAGGATTCGACCGGATATACTCAGTAATCTGAGAAACCGTTGCTGGATTGTTTTTGGCCAGATAAGACTTTGCAATCTCGCCAATAGTGTGGTGCTTAAATTCACGTAGAGGAACTATCAAGACCCATACAAAGTGACTGAAATGCCTCCCTTCAACCCAGTCCCAGGCAATCTTAGCACAAAATGTTGTTTTTCCAGCCCCTGCCTCTCCCTGAACCATGATCCGCTTGGGCAACTCTCCATTGACTTTGAGATCAAGGATATCATTGTAATCTAGCACTCGCTTCTCTGTTCCATGTTCTTTTAGTAAGACGAGATTAGTATACATGTCGTTAAACTGCACAATGGAAGCAGGATTGAGAGGATCAGCTCTGATCTTACAGAGAGTTGACCTATACTTGAACTTGAAATCATTTGCACACCGCTCAACCAGTTCAGGAGAAAGTGGTTTGGTCTGAGATTCAGCTGAAGAAGGTTTGGTCTGTGATTCGAGCAGTCTTGATGGCCCTCCTAAAAATACAAAATCCATATTCATATGATTACCCATAAACATATTTTGATACATCGGAAATGATTGTAAAGACCTGAGGCTAATAGTATGACATACGACTATTTGCATGTAGTCAAAGACACAAAGTCCTACATGTTTGTCTGAATTAATATGACTTCATTCAATTTTAAGGGCATTTAGAATCTGGCTTATTTGTGTATACATGTATATGTACTTGTAGATGAATTTATTTTTCCTAGGACATTTGAGCAATGCAGAGGTTCCGTGACAATCACACATCTTATTTTGAGAAAAAAAAACGAGACAAATATAATTGCATCTCCAGTATGCCTCTGCGTAAATTCAGTTAAATGATCAGGGCTTGAATCAATCTCTAAATATCAAAATGAGAACAAAAAGCCTATATATATGTTGATTGATCTTTACAACCTATGACCGTTGATCTGACAATCCAACAACTTGTCTCCCTATGGTGACGCATACCATTTGTAGTTTTTTAAAATAATTTTCAGCTAAAATAGCTTTAAACTAGTTTTGCTGACTTTTGACCTTCTTAACCCAAAATATAAACAGTTTGTCTCAGTATGGTGATGCATACCAATGCCAAATTTGAAATTCATGGCTCAAACCGTTCTTGAGACATTTCAATAATGGAGCTAAAACCCTAAAAATTAATTAAATTTGACCCTCATGGCCCTTGGCCATTGAAAATTATCCCAACATTTAATCACTCCATCTCACTTTGGTGATGCATGATAACACCAATTTGAAGTTCATACCTCAAGTGGTTCTTGACATATCATGAGGCTATAACCTGTAATTTGAGCCACTAACACCCAAATTTAATCAAGATTATCTGTCTATGGTGATAAATACTAGATCAACAAGTTTGAAGTTCATACCTCAAGTGGTTCCTGAGATATCGCAATAGCAAAAAGTAGGACGGATGGACAGACAACCCCAAAACATATTTTATCCGGCGCCACCTTTGGTGGGTGGATGTATAATTACAGTTATCATAATGGGATGACGCAAAAGAATATATTTTGTTTGTAGAACATGTGCACATTAAGAAAGTTGGCATACATTGATTTCTGCTATCACTAAAAGAACTTGAACTATATTGGTGTCCAGAAAATATCTAGGATTAACAAAGTTAAATTAGGGAATTGTAAAACATGAATGGGGTCTGATAAAAAAAAATTATTTCTGTAAATTGTGGCAAATGTACATAGAAATAGAGCACTCACTATCTCTAGTAAAAACTTCAGTTTTATGCACAGTTTTCTATATATCTTCTGGTGTAGAAATAATTAGTATCTGTTTACCTGTGCTGTTGGGAGTTAGAGGTTCATTGAGTAATCTGTCCGATAAGCCACCCAAGTCAATCTCTCGAAGTGCATCTGCCAAAAGCTGTCGTCTGTTTGAATGTGGAGGTTGCTGCTTGACCTTCCATTTCATGAATACTCGCAAAAATGCATTGGAATAGTTATTCGACATCTGAATCAGGATTGCCTGTATCTGAGCTGAGGGGATCCCTAGAGATATCCCTACAGCATCGTAGTAAGATGGAGGGATAGCATGGGCCAGCTTCAGGAACTCCATATCACTGACAGTACTGTAAAATGAATAATAAATCAATTGGGAATGATAGGATATTAGCTAGAGAGCATCCTATTGGCTGATAAGCTATCATGTGACACTTAACAATTTTTATTATGTGCTCGAGCGTGCAATAAAACAGCCGAAGGATATCAGAATACATTGACGGTGATATTAACATTTGAAACAGTTTGGCAACCTTGATTTCACTGAGTCACAACATGGCGTATATTCTTTTGTTTTGTGCTTGCCGAACAAAGCAGTAGTCGTCATATTGTGTCCCAACTCGAATCGGGTTGGCCAAACTCTGTGTATAGATGGCTCTGGCAGTGTAATACAATAATGATGGTGATATAAGAAGAAAAGGATTACTAAGTACTTTTAAGAATAATAATAATAAGGCCAAATAACAAAAATAACCTGTTTCTTTTCCGACTTTTCCGGCAGTATACTATTTACTATTTTGCGATTTTTTGCTTTTTTCCCAAGATGGCTGTCATGCTAATTATAGCTGGCTAAGCCTATTTATTGACAGATATTGTGCTTTGTGAGTATAATAATGATGCAATGTATGAAAAAACAAATGATTTGTATCACTTTAGAAGCTTTTAAAACAAAATGTATATATCCCAGGCTTCTCTTTTGTGAGTGGCTTTATTTGTGTGGCTTTTTGGGGGGTTTTGGGGGCCGTTTTTCTTCTGAATAGTAAATAGTAAAAAATAAAGGAGGCGGCGGGGAGGAGACGAGAAACACTTCATTTTGGTTACTTGGCCTAATAATAATAATAATGTTTAAATTATTATTATTACTAAATTAGATGATGATAATCATGATATCATCATCATCATCATCATAATTATTTTCTGTATCAAACATAGTCAATGTAATTGGCTTACATGTACTCTGAATCATCAGGTCATCGCGACAGGTTTGGTTAAGGAGCCGACCTTTTGTGAAAACATGCCTCTTTTTATTTACAAAATGTCAGAGACTAATGTGAAATAAACCCCTCTCATGTATAAATAGTCTGGTTTAATTTGCCAGACACTTTGTGAAAACCCTACAGCAATGTACGAAAGATTTCATCCTGAACGTGCACCTACAGTCCTACATATGATCTTTTGTTTCACGAAAGGTTGTGTAACGTAATCACCCGACCAGATGCGACGACCCGATGAATCGAAGTAAGCCAGTACATGCATACCTTTCTGCAGTGTCAGGACCTGGATTGGTCTCTACATCACCAGATCTCATCAAGAGGATCAGGAGCAGATAGAGAAGGCAGAATCCATCCATGGTGTAAGATATCCTTCTCATTCAACAGAAGTTTAGTTCTCTGGAAAATGGTGCTGACATAGGCTACAGTACCTGAAAATAATATTCAGAAATATCTACATTATATACATAAAACAGATTGAATACAGATTCTTGAAATTTGCAGCCGTATTTTAAACTGTTACTGTCAATGGATGACGACATCTTCCTTCATGCGCAGTAACAGTTTAAAATAAGGCTGCAAGAATTTCAACACGGAGATCAATTTTGACGAAGGAAATCTGGGAAAAAGACCCTTAAACGCATCGTACAATCAACCTGGTAAGTGGAAACGGTGTAGTTTAACCCAAAATCATAAATATTGGAGTATAAATGCATCGGATATGCATCCGCTAAATTGAGTATTTTGGGCAGTTTTGTGGCCAGATCTAGCCACAATGTTTGCACATTCTGTCTCTAAAGAGAGGAGCGTACCCTACCCAAATAAGTGGCTAACAAACGAAAGAGACAGAAATTCTCTGTCTAGGGGAGACCAAGAATCACTTTAAAAGTATGTTGCTGGTACCGGCTGCCAGAGCTAAAGCCAGGGTAGGGCATAGGGAAGTATATCCATGGCTGTAAACTTTGGGGAACTGCTTGGAGGAATTTTGTTTTCTTCGGACGAACAGCGCTCTATATCATGAATATTCATATTTGCTGCGCTAATACCGTGCATGCGTACTGTCTCTTCGCTATGTTGAATCGACGATACAACGTTAATGAATCGTCGGGTAAGGACGAAGAATCACCCTTTTTCGCATCGAAGACCTCTTGAATTATAATTTTCAATTGGTTGGAAAGATGCCCAGAGGAGTCGAAAAACATTGTAAGTCAAAATTGTAATTACTACCTCTTTACATTGCGAAAAAATGTGACCCAACCCGCTGTTTGAATCGTTTTCAGAAACGGGCTCTGGAGCTCCGACACCGGAGCTCCTGGGAGTTTAAATGCTCGAGGTGTTGCCGTAACAGGTACCTTACTCGGCGCTAGTGTAGTTCCGTATCCATTTTTTTAGCAGTTCCATATCCATTCTTAGCAAAGAAAATTTAGCCCAATTTTTTACTAATTTTAATCATAATCATATATCACAATTTCCACCTGAATTTGGATCACATCCGAAATCGGGAAGCCTCTGTTTAAGGCTTTGATGTCAACATCGTCGCTCAGTACCGTCTCTAAGCTATAGCTTTGCAACTCAAACTGAAGCTATCAGTCCAAAATTATGCAAACTTCTTGTATTGTTTATGGTATCGTGCATGCGCGTAATACCATAAACCATACGAGAAGTTTGCATAATTTTGGACTGATAGCTTCAGTTTGAGGTGCGGAGCTATAGCGTAGAGACGGTACTGAGTGAAGACGTCGACATCGAAGCCCTAAACGGAGGTTTCCCGATGTCGGATGTGATCCAAATTCAGGTGGAAAATGCAATATATGATTATGATTTAAATAAGTAAAAAATTGGGCTAAAATTCTTTTGCTAAGAATAGTACTGCCAAAAAAATGGATACGGAACTACACTAGCGCCCCTTCCTTATTAAATATCGAAACCACCTTTTTTATACAAAAGCGAAAAGGGGGGAAAATAACTGATCTTTACATTAAAGGGATCGTTTAACAATGTTAAATCTGAGATACACGGCCCTACATGTTATAGGTGTCTGTGATATGGTGTAATATTGAAGCCCTACAAAAATTGCGCTTCAAAATGATCAAGAAGTGCCTCAAAAAAGTAAAAAATCTTTGAGTGACCGGTTTTACCATACTCGTTTTCCCCAATAGACTGTAGTGTTATGAAAACCGTCAGGCGAACGGTTTTCAAATTTTGTAATTCCAATCATAAATATCTTGATAATCAGACAGGCGATCGGCTTGTTAAAGTCATGGGGTTCCTGACTGACCTAAAGGTTTATAATTATCATTGCATCTGAGCTAAATCCAGAATTTTGTTTCAGAATCTGAGACGAAGTTACCGGATCCCTTTAAGTGCAAGAATTTTTTGAAACATCACACTATTTACAGTAGAAAAAAGGAAGACAAAAATTAAAATAACATCGAACTTGAGCCTGAGGCAATGTGTACACTGCACTAGCTGACACTCACTGTCACACCTCGAGAAGGAAGATGGACCTTGGAAGAAAGATAGACCTGGAAACTCAACTGCAAATCTCTGCAATTTATCCAGTACATCCGGTAATAAGGTTTTAAGGTAATAAAGAAGGTAGAAAATGAGATCATTGCCATCAATACGCATTAGCATTGACCCCTGGCACAATGCGTTGCTGGTGTGCGGACACCCAACCCACATCATACAACTAACATTTCATTTGTAATAAAGGAATTAATGCAGTACACAGTAGCCATGCAGTAGGCCTACGTAGTACGTCTACGAGGATATTATTTGAAATAGACTAACCTTGTTTTAGTCTTATCAGGTTTGCAGAGGCAGCATGTCGTCGTCGACAGACTTCATTCTAAATCTACTCCAAACTAAAGAAAGATCGGATCTTAACATTTAGTAAGATCAATCACTGAATCGAACTCGGAAGCGAGATGACGCGGCAGTACGTACTCTGGCAGCAGAAAGATGGCGATTGGGTGGGTCGCGGGGGAGCGATTGAAAGGGGGAATCCCCGGCTGCGCGTTTTTGTATTTTGTCCGCAATACAGCCTATAGAGGTCTAGGCCTATACTACATTCAGCAAAATAACTTCTACGTTCGCGCGGGGTACACAGTGTTAGGCAGCCTTCATATCTCATGTTGTGTAGATAGACCATATCTCTATACGGTAGTTGTAATCAGCCATATCTCGTGTTGTGTAGACCTATAATGTAAGAACGCTTTAAAGGGGGAATCGCGCATTATTCTTGAAACAATTAAAGAAGCATGTTTTTTTTCTCTCAAATGTTTCTTCAATTTTTTTAAAGACTTTATCTAGATTCTTTTACGATATTATTAATTTGCAGAAGGCCGTTACCCCCCCCCCCGAGGACAATTACCCCCACCCCTCGGAAAATTACCCCCATCCCCCACCCTGATAATAAGTCAGTGGTTTTGATAAAAGCAGATTTTTTTTCGGGGGGGGGGGGTAATTTTCCGGGGGGTGATTGTCCATAGGGGAATTGTCGTAGAACCCTAATTCCTATATAGCACTAGTAAACCCCAAGCCCTATCCCATACACTGCCATCCAGTATCATAATTATAACCAGTTGAAAAGTACGCTTTAATTACTTGACGTTTTATATACAGATTGAAATACACGTACCTCTAATTTAAGATCAAGCAAGTTTAAGTCGCTTAAAAATTTGCATTAATCCCTTGTTTTACATATTTTTGAATATCGATTGAAACAATATCAAGTTGGATGCATGGCCCCAAAAGGGATGCCTCAAAACGGCGGTTAGGTAGAATGAAATTGAGAAAGAGAGAGAGATACATATGAGGGAGGGGCGTGAGTGAGAGGGGGTATAGTGAGGGCGAGGGGAGAGAGAAACTGAGAAAGAGAAAAGTCGAAAATTTAGATAGGCAAATCAAGAGAGAGATAGGGAGAGAAGACAGAGAGGCCAAGATAGAGAGAGAGAGAGAGAGAGAGAGTAAAGGAAAGAGAGAGAGAGAGAGAGAAAGAGGGGGGGGGGGTCGATGGAAAGCAGTATACATTCTACATGAAAGAGAAAGAAAAACTAACTTTTGAACACTATGAGTAATCTGATTCCTTTTTTTTGGTCACATCTCTCCAATCTAATGTCCATGCTGCGTTGCTGGCTGAAGGATGTGGAAAACATGAAATTTCCTTTGTCAATAAATAGGTCTCCTCCCCTAAATTCTAATACACCATTCAACATATAATTATTGTTTCTTGGGTCTTGTAACTTTTAAGATGAATTAATTAGAAACTTAAAGAATAAAACATGTGAACATTAGGATCTCTTCCTGTCCCCTGCATTATGGACTGGACATGCTTGAGGGAGTGAATAATAACATTTCGGACAAGTTTGCAGACCTTTGTGAAAAGACGCGTAGCCTATACAAGGGGTTGAACTTTAAAGTGTTTTTGTTGACTTCAACAGTGTTACAAAATGAGCTAGATGCCGTTGATGGGCGTGGCCGACAACCAAACTATGCCGCCACAGGTTATTGAAACCGATGCTTTAGTGAGTATAAAGTCTTCTCATCTTAAGCTGTATGATATTTCATTCGGTGTCACGATTGAACTCCTTCAGTATTCCTCGTTTGTAGGATTAATAATAATAATAATAATAGTGGGTTCTTGTATAGCGCTCATGTCAGTCAGATTTGACCCTCCTGGCGCTCCCGATTATTACCCTGGCTTTAGCACGGCTGCCATACGTCGCTCTAGCATTTCAAGGAATAAATTCCTATTTATGTATCATAAAATTATTCAATCCAGTGATAAGTATTGTTTAAAATTAAATTCGATGTGTATTGTGTATGTTGGTAGGAACACTGGTCTCTGATTGAGTGTTACCATATCATTGGCGGATTCATTGTGCACAGGGGGCACGACCGACCCCCCCCCCCCCCCAAAAAAAGAGGAGGAACTTGAGAGCATGGCTGGTATCCTGATTTTCTTGCTTTCCGTTTCTTTCTTTCATTCTGTTCTTGCTTGCTTGGTAAAAAGATGTAGGACTTGTGCCCCCTCCCCTCCCTCCCCCTGCATGAGAATTGTGGAACCCCAACTGCCGGTCTCGGATCAGTGTTTATCCATGATAAGATCCTCCATCCGGGTACATAGTTACAGTATAACAGCCCCAATGCAAATATCAATTGAATAAGAACTTACGCAACTCAAGCACCGAGTTTTTAAATTAGTGGTTTTCTCCTTTTATATAGGGCACAGTTAACCACACGCAGAACCTCGAAGGGAATTAGATCATCGTGCCTTTTAATTGGCTTCATGCAGGGCAAAATTTAGCCAGGGGATCGTCTCTTGCTCCTTTACCTTTAATTTAGCGAGCAATTCGAGAGGCCATGAATTTTAGATTTAACCGCTCATAGCACATTGGGTATCATAAAACTGTGCCCCTGCCCACCCCCCCCCCCCCCGGGCCGCCTCTGGCTCAACCGTTTGAAACAGCTGAACCAATTATAGCTTCTCAGTAGCCAATTGTTTATTTATAAATGTGTCCAATAATTACGAAACACTGATTAGCAATTTCTTTTCGAAAACAGTACATGTCTAAGAAATTTTTGATAAGGGTTCCACTGTTCAAACATTTTCAGCATTAGTGTACGTAATGTGGAAATTTTCTGTGACATTTTGTGTCATTATCTTATGCTAAGATAGACAGATATTGATATCAATTAATGAAGTTCATTTTTTATTCATTTTTAAAAGATAAGTTTTTCTGATTTGTATTCATCCATGCTGGAATTTATCTGTGTGTCTTCAACACAAAGCTGAATTGAATATATGGGTTGTATGGAATAACAATAGTTATATTTGTATTTTCATAATCCAATTGTTTTGGCTATCTTGTATATTGTGTACTAAATGAAAGATTAGAGATATTGAATTGTGAAAAAAAGAAAAGAAAGTTCGGATGAGAGGGGAGGTAAGGGGAAATTAGTGTTTTACAGCAATTGAGAATACTTCGCAAAAAGATACTTTTATTGAAGAGTTGAATGGGCTAAATCAAATTCACCTTATTATCCTATTATCTCACACCTCTCTCTTTCTCTCTCCATCTCTGTATTTCTCTGTTTTCCTCTGTATCCCTATCTCTATAGAACCAGAACTCTCTATCTTTACTTTACATCTCTCTCTTTCTCTTGCTCTCTCTCTCTCTCTATTTATATCCTTCTCTCTCTGTATCGATGAACAGGGACACCCCTTGCTTTTGCTTCTTCTATCTTGTTAATGATTACTGAACTATTCTTTCAACTCTCACATCATTTCTTTATGACTGGAATGGAAATAACATAAAATAACAAGACATAAATACAACATTGCCCAACAAAAATAGAATAAAAAGCATAAACAAAGAAGTAATGTGTGTGAGAGAGAGAGAGAGAGAGAGAGAGAGTGAAAAATACAAAAAATAATGGCAGTCACTTTGGTAAAATCTACAAAAATTCCAAAATTCATAAAGGGTTAGTCCAATAAAATATATTTCCTTTATGTTCACACCTATTTTGTAACTCATTTTCTCTTTCATCTCTCATTCTTTTATCCATACTTCGCTGATACTATTTTCCAAATAATCACCTATAAGATAAATCATATTTCATTTGATTTTCAAATTTATTCAAACTTCCCACTCGAATTTGAATCTTATCAAGCTTAAATTTATCAATTGAGTATATATAGATTAAATGAAATATATAAAAAATATCCCGAACCAGATACAATGAACATTTCAATAAGATGAATATATGCTTGTATGTACATGCATACAGTCGTATTTTACATAAAAAGGATAAGCTTCCCTCACTTTAGAATTAGCATAGGCACTTGCATATATGAACTGAAAATTCAGAATTTCCCCGAGTGATGTTGTACTTTACTGAGGCCATAGGCTGAAGATGAAATATAACGGCACGAGGGGAATTCCAAATTTGGAGGTGAATATGTTACACTGTGCAATGAAATGCATGCAATATATCGCGTAGAGAACTAGAAGAGATGTGCCCATTCTAATTCACTTATGCACGCGTTATAACCTGCAAAATAATAACGAATAAATATAACAGAATGTCGAGTGTCTCGTGACACCATTTCAGCTATAGGATACAAATAAACCATAATCAAACTACACCTAGCACATTCTTCCGTCTCATTTGTACATCACAATGTTTAGATATCTAAGGCAACGCAAAATATATTTCTGAAATTCATGATCATCCAATACACATAGAAAGACCGTCTCCTTTGTACATCAAAATGTTGAAATATCTAAGGCACTAAAAAGTAGTTCATGATCATCCAATATACATAGAAATGTTTAGTACATCCTTTTGCATGACATAATTCAGAATAAACTCACAGATCTGAGCGATTTGCATTGTCTATTACGAAAATCAGAGTGGATTATGAAAATGACATCACTTAATCAGAAGAGGATGGTGATCAAAAGGCAAGGTAATGGAATGCTCATGAGAGTAGTGTCTATGTTTGTATCTTATAAGCCAATCAGGAATGCAAACTTACTAAAATATAAAACATATGTACAAGGCAAGTATGGCAAACATATACAAGTTCAAAATATACATGTATCATAATCTGGAATATGTATCATAAAAATTATTGAAATCCGGTACTGAATACAATTAGAATACACATGTATGGTAAACAATATATAGCAGCATATTTACATGTACGCTGGAATGATGTAAAGAAAATCCAGGAAAATATTTCCTCAAATGGATTTAATATATAAGTACTGGTGAATGTAGTTAAACATGTACAAACAATAATCCATCTCAATTAAATATCACACTGATAACTCAGGCATGTTAGATTGACAAAAGAGACATGTTTCTTAAAATTATAGCAGCATATTTACATGTACACTGGAATGATGTCCCAAAAAATCCAGGAAAATATTTCCTCAAACGGATTTAATATAGTACTGGTGGATGTAGTTAAACATGTACAAACAATAATCCACTTTTAATTAATATCACACTGATAACTCAGGCATGTTACATTGACAAAAGAGACATGTATCTTAAAATTATAGCAGCATATTAACATGTACACTGGAATGATGTAAAGAAAATCCAGGAAAATATTTCCTCAGATGGATTTTAAAATCTAAAACTGGATGTAGTTATTTACAAACAATAATCCACGTCAATAATACACTGATAACTCAGGCCTATATTCATACACCCTTACCAGACAAAGCTAGTTCTCGACTATCATGATGAGTTCTATCAAGTTCATAGACAAGATAACTAGAGCAATATGGCTATTAACATCTGGGTCATTTCTGGTAGCAAATTCACTAGTTGATTTAGATTCTACTTAATTATATTTTGTATTAAAAATGTGCAATGACATTGACAAATACAGTGACATTTTGAAAGATAATTTGACATATTACATACTTTAACTCATAACTCACTTTGTGAAAGTTGAGTGGTATTTCATACATTGCATGCAAATCACCAAAAACAACATGGTTAAACTCTACAATACACATATACTTGGTACATGCACTACATAAACTGTCTAAAGCACTAACATCCTTGACAAGGCATTAATCCACATTTGCCACTCTCCACCCAGGTATAGATAAGCACCCGATATGCCAAAGCGTGATATATTTGGAGGCCGCCTAGGGCCAGGGTAATAATGTTTGAGCACAATTAAGGAGCGTCATGGCTTGACAGCATCACTATATCAGAAGCCACCATTATTATCATTATAACAACTAGTTGCTGGCGGTGTCGCCTTCTATCGACAGGCATAATGCATGATCTTAGCTGAGAAAAAAATGACCCCCTATTTAGAGTACAGTATTTTCAGGAAACATTTTCCACACAACATGACCCCTTTCAGCATAAAACATGTACACATTGGGCTCTTGATGCAACTCTGTTTAGGGCTTATTAAGTACACATTCACAAAACCTATTCTATTTTTGGACTCACTTTCTACAAATACCTTTCACATTTTTTGAACATTGTGACAATAATATGATCCCTTTCTCTCGATTTTTTCATTCTAAACCCAGATAGTGGACTGCACTCGTCTACCAGTAGGTGAAGAAGAAGGAAACGGCCTTTTTCCAACAAAAAAATACATTTGCAAACCTCACCAAAAATTACCCCCTTATTTTACCAAAGATTTCTTGCTATCAGTCCAGGGCTTGACACTAACAGGCTAGCAGAGACACATGGATGCCCAAAATCTAGGTCCGGACCACCAGAATTTGGATGTTTTTACATAGGGCTAGTGCATACAGAGTGGAAACAAATTTGAACCTATTTTCCAAACAAACTTAGTGTGGAGCCCTGTATCATACACAAAGTCAAGATGAAGTGTTACCACTGTCTTACTCTAGCGATACCGAAGCAACTACACTTCATACTTTGATTGCTTCTCTGGGATTTCAGGATCATCCTGTGGAACTCTTGACTGAGTACAAGTAGCTTGCCTCTTGTAAGGCCTGCTCAAGCGACTGCTACCCTCTCTGTGTGTCTGAGAGAATTGAAATACAGTATCTGATGTATTGCCAACATGCTGTTGAGGGTGGTCTGATGGTGGTAATGTCCTTCTTGGAGAGCGTACATCGTCAATGAGTTGCTGTTGAGGGTGGTCTGACGGTGGTAATGTCCTTCTTGGAGAGTGTACATCACCCATGTGATGCTGTTGAGGGTGGTCTGACGGTGGTAATGTCCTTCTTGGATAGTGTACATCACTAACATTACACGTGGGTTGCTGTTGAGAGTGGTCTGGCGGTGGTAATGCCCTTCTTGGATAGTGTATATCACCCATGTGTTGCTCTTTAGGGTGGTCTGATGGTGGTAATGTGTCTCTTAGATAGTGTACATCACCCATTGGTTGCTGTTAAGGGTGGTCTGGTGATGGTGGTAATGCCCTTCTTGGATAGTGTACATCACCCATGGGTTGCTGTTGAGGGTGGTCTGATGATGGCAATGTCCTTCTTGGATAGTTTACATCACCCATGGGTTGCTGTTGAGGGTGGTCTGATGGTGGTAATGTCCTTCTTGGATAGTGTACACCACCCATGGGTTGCTGTTGAGGGTGCTCTGATGGTGGAAGTGACCTTCTTAGATAGTTTACATAACCCATGGGTTTCTGTTGAGGGTAGTGTGGTGGTGGTAATGCCCTTCTTGGAGAGTGTACATCACCCATTGGTTGCCGTTGAGGGTAGTCTGATGGTGGAAATGTCCTTCTTGGATAGTGTACATCACCCATAGATTGCTGTTGAGGGTGGTCTGATGGTGGTAATGTCCTTCTTGGATAGTGTACATCACCCATAGATTGCTGTTGAGGGTAGTTTGATGGTGGTATTGTCATTCTTGGATAGTTTACATCACCCATGGGTTGCTGTTGAGGGTAGTTTGATGGTGGTATTGTCATTCTTGGATAATGTACATCACCGATGGATGTAGAGGCATGGTAGGATCGAGTGTAGTAATCTTGCAAGACTGAAATATTGGCACCTAACCCTCTTGATAGGGTGATGTTGGCATGTAATGGGTTCACATGACTAGTGCTTGCCATGGTTCCTTGGTACATCGCTCTTGATTGCTCAGAAGAGACATTTCCTGTGTTGTATGTGTTGCCATGGTAACCGAGAGCTGACCTGAAATAAGGATGATAAGGAATGTAAGGAATGATAGGAAACTGAGTAACGTTTGAGTTGCACAAGTCGGTTGAGCTATAAAGGAAACAATTTTTTTTTACTATCTGTTTGCATGATGAGAAATAAGAAATGAACTACTATTGATCTTATTGAAAGTACTAGTCTCAAGAAACGTTTTGAACAGTAAATAAAGAAGAAGAAAAAAAGAAATAGAATAGACTACAGTCCCCCCACCCCTCCCCCTCCCCCCCCAAAAAATAAAAATAAATAAATAAATAAAAATATAATAATATATATATATATATATATATATATATATATATATAAAGAACACAAAAATTCAACAAATTTTAGGCTGATTGATTACACTTTACAATAGGGAATATGATCAATAAAGCAGTTACTGAATATTTAGTTCTGTCAGACGAGAAATCTTCAATTTGTTTAAGGTAAACAATATAACAAAATTGTATGCTCCCAGCAGGGGTATCAGCGTTAATCGTAGGTTTTCTTAGTATTCCATTAGAGGCTCTCTTTTCTATATCACACTTTTCATGCAAAGTCTAAATGCTGTTATCTGAGTTTTTTATATTTTTTAAAATCACATACCGGTATACTTTACTGACCTTGAGAGGGTGTGAAGAAATGAGTTCAAACCATTTTGAGTAAATCCATTGAACTTGAAGTTTCCCTTCCTGATCTGAGGAAAACAACCCTGTAACATATAATAGTAATATTGTTTGTAATCCTTGTATCAGTTTCAAGTAAGTGGATCTATTTCATTCTAGCATATAGTCTATTTTCTTGGGAATATACACTCAAGGGCTACACTTACATCCCTTAAACAAAATGAAAATAAGAAGAAAAAAGAAGTTTGGAGAATTAAAAAAGGTACAGTAAGAAAATTGCGTGCTGTAGACAAATCACAGTCATCATCCTACATGAAATATTTCAGGAGAAATTAATGAATTTTTTTTCATTGGAGTACCCCCAAAAGACTTGTTTCTACAAAGAAAAAATGACCCCTTTTCCTTCTTCTCCTTTTTATTTTGACACCTGCCCCTTTTCTTTCGACAAGTTCCCATTTTCCTTAGCAATTAGTGTCCATCTTCTATTCTCATAAGTGCCTCTTTTCACTTTTTAATTGCCCCTATTAAAATCTGAGAGGTGCCCCTTTTCTTTCAACGAATGCCCCATTTCTTATATACATTAGTGCCCATTTTCTATTCCCTCAAGTGCCTTTTTCATATCTGGTGAGTGCCTCTTTTCAAGTGCGAGAGTTGCCACATTTTCACCTCTGATAATTACCCTTTTACTCTGACAATTTCTCTTTTTTTCCTTCTAATAAATATCTTTATTCCTTTTGATAAGTGTCCCCTTTGCCTTTTACCAGAAAATGTGCCCCTAATTTAAGGCAACTAAGAGCAATATTTTTGTTAATCTCCCCCCTTGCCCGCATTTTTAGTTGATGTAATTATGTTTCTTATCAAAGGTCTTTTCAGTCTTTCATGATTAGATTGTTCTTATAACCCCAACAGGATTGTTTTTTTCCTCTTTATAAAATGTAATTTTTTGCACTGCAACCTCACAAATGTCAAAATTTCAAATGAATATTCAGACCATCACACCCAACTGCAAAGTATGATTCTTAGCAGTATCTTGTACTATGGAAAGAGAGAAGCATATATTGAAATCATCCCTGATAATTTAATCACAATATAGGGGTATATACCAATGTCTGTAATTGGAATATTTTCGCTATGAGATATTCCCAGAAAGTGCCTTTTTTTTGTCCCCCCCCCCTACTTTGGGAGATGCTTCGCCACCCCTGTTGTGATGGCTCATGCTATAGTGCATAGATGCCATATATGACATGCCAATGGGCTTATTTAGTGATTTTGGCACGCCACATTTCTTGCTGGAAATATATCACATGTTGTTAAATTTGCAAACAATGAGTGATTTGTGAAATTCACAATAATGAATCCCCACGAAAATAACTGCTTTTATACAGTAACTCAAGGACAATGAGCCCGGGACCACTACCTCCTGGACCAATCATACCCCCAGGACTATAATCCACAAGGAAAATTACCCCAGGGAAATTACTCCCAGTACAATTACCCCCTAGACAATAACTTCCCCAGGGCAACTACTCCCAGAATAACTGCCCCTAGGACAATTACCCATGGGACAAATACCCCCGGCCAACACAACTACTCCCATGACAATTACATTTTGCCCCAGGTCAATTAGGGTATGTTGACTAGGGATGATGGGGATTTCCTCAAGGGAACAGGGGATGGTGGTAGTCTGCAAGCACAGACCCTAATATGACACTTTATCAACAAATCATTGTGCCTTGAGAGAAGCCTAGCACAGCTACCTACTGGTTGTGTCAATAGTGTCAGGAGCAGCTACAGTGCATGGCCTTTGGTAGTCTTATAGTGCAGACTCACTTTTTCGACTGACCAGGGTTTGTGCTTGCAGATTAGGGTGGTGGTATGTGGAGGGTTTCCCACAGAAGAACTTCTTTAATTCAATAAACTTAAATCATACTTTAGTACAATGTAGAAATATCAATTGAAAGTTCCTTTATTTAACAGTTATGTAAAACAGGGACGGAGAAGCATCCTTCAAAACAAAGGGGGAAATAACAGAAAAGGGCAATTTACAAAAGGTGAAAATGAGGTGGAAACTACCTTTCTAAGACATTATTATATCCCTACTATATTGTTCTTGAATAGCAGCCCACAACAGCCCATATATATATACCTGCATGGATGATGCCTTTGCTTTCAATGCAGAGTAGAAATCCCCAGTAAGGGCTATTCCAAGTGTCAGGTCAGACAGGTTGGGCATAGAACACAGTGCTTCTGCAAGGTGATGTAAAAGGGCTGGTGTGGGAAAGCAGAGACCATCAAGCTTGACAGTCTGGACCTGCATTGTGTGTGAATATATTTAAGCATCAGGTCTATACATGCATATGTTTTACTCACTAATTTTTGACTGTATTCTAAACAATTCAGTCAAATTCCATTAATTACATAGTTTTATTCATAACATTCTTAACAAAAATGTTTGAATAGATTTTATTTTCAATTCTTGTCTATTGAGAAAAAGAACACACTAAAGTTTCTAATGAGAGGATAATTTAGTAAAGGTAATTTTTTTTTTAATTCCTTATTATTCTTTATAGGGCTTCCAACCTGTTTGCATTGATAATTCCTACTCCTACTTACACTGAAATTCATAATACCAATAAATATACATTTGCTACTAAAGGTAATACAAAGTTTTGATATGGGGTCATGAATTTGGTTCAAATCACTCCAGCAAAGCATAGAGAGTCAATGCTATTGCGTATTGACCTCTAGCACTGCATACATGCTGTGAGGCAGGGACCTAGAAGTCTATACACAAATATACACACCACACAATATCGCATAGACTGTACACAATCATGTCGAAGCAGCTGTAAGCAAAGTTTGACACCAGACTTACAATTTGAATTTTTAAATTATTTTTTTAACATCAGTAAATTGAAAAAAATGTATTTTACTGCTATTTAGGTGTCATCAATTATCACTAGAGTACCGATTTTTAGTGAAATCAGTCGAGTTTTGTACAGTGGTGTTTGAAATGTTGAGAATCAAAAGCACAGCTTTTACTACACAGCCAGGATAGTGATGATCCTATGTGTGGTTCAAATGAACATATTGGAAGCATATGTGATCCAACAATATTCAATCATCATTGTTCTGGTTGAAATCGAGTCTAAAGTTATGAAATTATAAATAATTAACTCTTTATGCTGTATAGCTCCCTCTCAAGGTCAAGATATTAATTAAGCTATAAAACAATGTTTCTTGACTACAATCGACCGACTAGCTATTCCCATTTGGAAATTATATATCACAACTACATATTCAGAGATTCTCATGGTCGCAGCTACTATTGTACAGCCATAGGCGCTATAGGGTGGTGAAGTGTGACGTCATAAAAAATCTAATTTTAGAATTTCTCAATTTTTTCTTCATTTTCCGAAAGAGCAGCAAAAATGATGTCCAAATGTCAAAAACCAATTGAATATGTTAAGTATTGGCTGAGATATGACCATCTGAATAAATAAATGTCCAATGAGAACTCAGTGTTATATGCTCTGGCTCCTAATGGTTAGGAGCCAGAGCATATACCACTGAGTTCCTATGGGGAGTATATTCATTCAGGTGGTCATATCTCAGCCAATACTTAACATATTCAATTGGTTTTTGACATTTGGACATCATTTTTGCTGCTCTTTCGGAAAATGAAGAAAAAATTGAGAAATTCTAAAAACAGATTTTTATGACGTCACAGCTTCGGTACTCTATTTGAAATTTATCAAAATTTACCAGGAGCACCAGTAAATTTTTATATTCCATTTTTCTCGAAAGCAGAAGTGTTTTAGAGGCTAAATTTTCTAGTGCTTATAATACATCCACAGGGGCATCCGAATGTATTAAAATTGTAAAGAATCACTTTCCACCCAATTTTCAAAATTTCCCAAAACTTTGTATACCTTTAATGTATTAAAGGTATTCATAACTCTGGATTTCATATGCACAAGACCCATAAAGTCAGGAGGTTTGTTGCCATGGTTCAGTTTGGTAAATTCAAGCCTCTATAAAAAAATGGCTCCTAAAAAACTATATGACATATTTTTTACTATCAATCAAACTTGGAAAAGGTTGAATTTTGATTATTAGTCAAATCAATGTCAATCTTAGACACACTTGAATTTCAACTGAATCAGTACATGTGTAGTTTGCTTTATTCCATGTTTCATAACTGTTCCAAAGGTTGATTGGAGAAGGAAAAATATATAACCTGGTTTATACATGTGAACCATATAACTATTACTGCTGTTTCTGTCGATCAACGAACCTCCATGACATTTACATTAGGACATACATACCTGTATGGATGATGCCTTTGCTTTCAATGTAGAGAAGAATTCCTCATTGAGAACCCCTCCAAGTTTCAGGTTAGTCAGGTTGGGCATAGAACACAGTGCTTCTGCTAGGAGATGTATTGAGGCTGGTGTGGGACAATGGAGATCATCAAGCTTGACAGTCTGGACCTGCATTGTTTGTCAATATATTTAAGCATCACGTCTATACATGCATATGTTATATTTACTAATTTCTGTCTGTATTCTTACATTTTATACTGTGAGGATCTTATTCAAATTAGGTAGTTCTTTGTGAGCCCATGTAAGTTATACAAGGATCATATGCAAATTAGATGTTCTTTGTGAGCCCATGTAAGTTATACAAGGATCATATGCAAATTAGATGTTCTTTGTGAGCCCATGTAAGTTATACAAGGATCATATGCAAATTAGATGTTCTTTGTGAGCCCATGTAAGTTATACAAGGATCGTATGCAAATTAGATGTTCTTTTGTGAGACTAGTTATGAACAGGTGCTTAATGTAGATTTCCACTTCACTAGATGAATAGCTAAGTGTATTCAAGTGTACACAATATCTAGGTTCTGTCAGGTGTATAGAATTGCAGACTCTTTGTATGACACATTTTCATTTGTGTGTGCTAGTAAAAATGCACATGCAGACTGCTCACTTGGATAATTGATCTTGAAGAGAGAGGTCTGTGTTACAGTTTTGGGGGGTATTTCCAAGGAAAGGAACCGGCGTGGTGTGGTGCCATGCAACCCAGTGCATGCTGAGACTGTTCTTCCCTCTTCTCAATGCCGAATTGTAAGTACATTTTTATACATCATTGCATGTAAACCTAGGTCATTTTTATATGCTTAAACAGTCATTGTTATGGTCATTTAGAGAGGATAATGTGAAGTTGTTTTATTACCGAATAGTATGTATTTTGTTTGGCCGAGTCCTTTAAAATATGGACATTTAAAGAGGATAGATATGAAGCTGTTTTATATCAGAATGATATGTATTTTGTGTGTGGCTGAGTCCTTTAAAATATGGACACTTTTTCTAATGTTGGAAACCGATGTAATACAAGTGGTATTGTGCATTTTCGTGTTAATTTTAGGACCTATGCTATTAAGATTCCGGTCTTTTATTAATTTAGATGGCGGTCAACGTACGGGTCAACCTCGGCCATACGTATAGTCAACCTCGGACTACGTATACTCGGGCAACCTCGGCTAGGACATAGTCGGGTGTTTCAAGGTCATTCAAGGGTTATCTTCAACCAGATCAACGGGGTGCATCTCTAGCTTTCCACTGTTCAAGGCAATCACTCGCCGTCGCTACTGGTCAACACACGTTCGTCGTTGCAGTCGTCGCATATAGTTTCATCGAAGTATCAACGTTAAATGAACTCAGAGAAGACAAACATTTATTTAAGCTTCATTGAATGCCAGTATCCTATTTACAGATAATTATTATTTTGTAAACGACAATAATATGATGTGTTCTATTTGAGCAAGGATATTTGTAATATCCTCCTTGATTTGAGTTACATTAAATGTTTCATTCAACCTATATTTCTGGAATCCTTTGGTAGTATTATTCAGAGTGGTTAAGTAGCCTATTCTAGATTAGTGAGCTAATACAAGCGAGCTATCGCACGTGACATATACAAATTCCTCAAATTACATAGTTGTATTCATAATAACATTCTCAACAAAACAATTGAATAGATTGTATTTTCTAATTCAATTCTTGTCTATTGAGAAAAAGAACACACTAAGGTTTCCATTGAAAGGATTATTTAGTAAAGGCAATTTTTTTTAAAATTCCTTATGTATTCTTTATAGGGCTTCCAACCTGTTTGCATGGATAAGTCCTACTCCTACTTACACTGAAATTCATAATACCAATACATATATATATTCTGTTAATGTATTGAAGGTATTCATGAATCTGATTTTCATATGCACAAGATCCCTAAGTCAAAAGGTTTGTTGCTATGGTTCATTTAGGTAAATTCAAGCCTCTATAAAAAAATGGCTCTTAAAAAACTATATGGCATATTTTTACTATCAATCAAACTTGGAAAAGGTTGAATTTTTATTATTAGTCAAATCAATGTCAATCTTAGACACACTTGAATTTCAACTGAATCAGTACATGTGTAGTTTGCTTTATTCCATGTTTCATAACTGTTCCAAAGGGTGATTGGAGAAAAAAAGAAATATAAACTGGTATATACATGTGAACCATATAACTATTACTGCTGTTTCTGTCGATCAACGAACCTCCATGACATTTACATTAGGACATACATACCTGTATGGATGATGCCTTTGCTTTCAATGCAGAGTAGAACTCCTCATTGAGAACCCCTCTTAGTGTCAGGTTAGTCAGGTTGGGCATAGAACACAGTGCTTCTGCAATGTCATGTGATGCGACTGGTGTGGAAGTCCAGACACCTTCTAACTTGAGAGTCTGCACCTGCATTGTTTGTGAATATATTTAAGCATCACGTCTATACATACATATGTTTAATTTACAAATTTTCGCCTATATTCTTACATTTCATACACATTCTATTAATTACATAATTGTATTCATAATAACATCCTCAACAAAAATGATTGAATATATTTTCTTTTCAAATTCAATTCTTGTCTATTGAGAAAAAGAACAGACTAAAGTTCTATTGAGAGGATTATATAGCAAAGGTATTTTTTTTTAATTCCTTATGTATTCTTTATAGGGCTTCCAACCTGTTTGCATTAATAAGTCCTACTCCTACTTACACTGAAATTCATAATACCAATAAATATACATTTGCTATTACTGTATTATTATTATTTATAAATCTGGATTTTATATGCACAAGACCCAAGTCAGGAGGTTTGGTAAATTCAATCCTCTATTAAAAATGGTTTTTAAAAAACTATTTGACATATTTTTACTATCAATCAAACTTGGAAAAGGTTGAATTTTGATTATTATAGTCATATCAATGTCAATCTTAGACACACTCGAATTTCAACTGAATCAGCTCATGTGTAGTTTGCTTTAATCTTGCCAAAGTCTTAAACTCCAGCGAAACGTCTGAAAATAGTCTACTTTAGATCTTGGATAAACTGTTTTATTTTAATCTTTGTACCGTAGTCTTTATCATTAAAATACTAGTTTAAGGCTGTTCATATACTGCATGGGCCTATGATGAAGGTCATGGGTCTTTTTTTAGTCTGGAAGTTTTATTACGGTAATAATACAAAGCAAGATGACTATAAAAGATCTTAATTTTAGCTCAT